CTCTAGCAACTTTCAGGTTCTTTGTTACCCTCTCAAACCTCTGTTCCCTAACAATTTCACAAAAATGGTATGGCTTGATTGTTTTCTTAATCGTTTCTAAGTAAACATTTGAATTCAGCTAGTTTTTATAACAAAACAAAGAAATTAATGCTTGATTTTCAAAGACTAAATGGTCGATCCTAAACTCACTAGAGCCGTACAACTAGCATAGTAGTGATACAATCTCGGAGTAAAAAGTGTACCTTATTTCAACGAGAATTGTAATGGCCCAAGGCCACCACTAGCAGATTGTCATTTTTGAGCTCTCCCTTTTGAGCTCTCTTAAGGTTTTTAAAACGCGTCTACTCGGGAGAGGTTTCCACATCCAGGCTCTCTTTCGAGCTTCCCCTTAAGGTTTTTAAAATGCCTCTATAAGGGAGAGGTTTTCACACCCTTATAAGGGGTGTTTCGTTCTCCTCCCCAACCGATGTGGGATCTCAAAATCCACCCCCTTTAAGGGCCCAGCACCACACCCTTTAACACCTTGGTGTTTCATTTTCCTCTCCAACCGATGTAGGATCTCACAATCCACCCCCCTTAAGGGCCCAGTGTCTTCGCTAGCACTCGTTCCTTTCTCCAATCGATGCAGGACCCTCACCAAATCCACCCCCATTCGGGGCCAACGTCCTTACTCACACACCGCTTCGTGTCTACCCCCTTCAGGGAACAACCTCCTCGCTGGCATATTGCCCCGTGTCTGGCTCTGAAACCATTTGTAACGGCCCAAACCCACCGCTAGCAGATATTGTCCTCTTTGGGCTTTCCCTCAAGATTTTTAAAACACGTCTACTAGGGAGAAGTTTCCACACCCTTATAATAAAAGGTGTTTCATTCTCCTCTCTGACGTGGGATCTCACCATAATCATAATTATGATGAGTATCAATCCTAAATGGTTAAAACATCTCTATATTTTGTTAGAGGTCGTAAAGTTCAAATCTACACCCCAACACGTTAACATTTGATATTTCATCCATCCCATAAAGATACACAAAGGCTGCAGAAGAGATGCCCACCTGGTTGCAGCCATTACAATGTTTCGGAGCTTCTTCTTCGGCTCCTGGTGGTCAGAACTCAAGATCTGAACAAACAAACAAAAAAGAGATAGAATAGAATCAAGAAACTCCAAAGATAAAGTTGAATACATTTTATCAAACACCTTGTGCAATCTCAACAGTTTACCTGACTAATCATAATATCTGTTTGGTTCCAATGGAATGCAAAGTAACTGAGAATGCATCGCTCGAACTCTTCGACGAGTTTGACGAAGAGCGAATCTGCGTGAAGCTCACTTGAGAAAAAGGAATAGATATCATCTTCACATTCATCTGATTTGGCTATGTACTCAGCAGCCAACTTGCAGAGATGCGGGCACTCATTTATGTCTTTAAACCCCATTTGCCTTGCTGATCAATCACAACAAATGCACACAAAATTCATCAACTCAAACAACCAAACACTTCTTTAAATTAAATTATATGAAATTTATAAATTAATTAACACTCTTAGATTTTGGTTTACAAACTCATTAAAAATTCATTAATCACTAAACAAAATAGGTATTAGTTTGATAATAGTTGGAGCAACAAATTCGGATTCGGCAATAATCTCATTTTTTGGTAGTACGAAGGGAAAATTGGCCCAAAAATTGGATAGGGGTCAAGACGCAGTCGGGCACCGGCGGCTGACTCAAGTGCCCCCAAACCGCGCGAAATGGTCGTCTATTACACGGCTCACTAACTCTATCTAGGGTGGAGGTACCTATTATTCGTCGGCGGCGGTCCAGCACACCCCTATTAATATATATATATATATATATATATTTTAAAGGTTAAAGGTTAAATTCAAATTCCTATAAAAAAAAAAAAATCATAAATTTGGGAGTAAGAAAGATATTTAATCATTCGAGAACAATTTAATTTTAATTTTTTATATTTAAAATTTTTGTTTGATTTACACCTATTTAAAAAATAATAATATATAAATTCGTTCAAAATCAAAAATAATTTTTAAAAAATATTCAAATTTTGGCTTGAAATTTGAAAAATAATATAACAGAAAATAATAATTAAAAAAAAGTCTTATGAGATTAAGCAGTGTTTGGTTATAATTTTAAAACAGTGTTTTTAAATAATTAAAAAGTACTTTTCTTTTTTAATTTGTATTATCAACAATAGGAATATATACATATATATGTATATATACATACATACATTTATCTACATATACATATATACATATATATATATATATGTATGTATTATAAAGCATCACAAACTCATAAAAAACATTAATTTTTTTTTTTTACCAAGTCTAGATTCAGTATATTAGGTCATGTTTATATAATTAATGCGATGAATTAAGAATAATGTTAATTATTAGTTTTAAATATTAATTTTTCATATATTAACTTAGGTAAGGTTTAAATAATATTTTAACTTGGTTATTACAATTAACTATGCCAGATATTACGATTATGCTCGAAAGGGCGACTGTCACACAAAACATATTCTTATAATTAAACTCTTAAATATTAAATATACACAGACTAATTTGACCATCAAACGTATTGATTTATAATTGAGAAAAACTCATAAATTTTAAAATTTACACAAAGTTAGTGTACACGTACAATTATATTATAATTTTTTTAAAAAATAAATTATAATAAACTTACGACGATGGCGGTTTTATTTAAAACTTCCGGAAAAAGAATATTTGAAGAAATGTAGATTATGAGAAGAACGGAAGCATAATCTTTACCTACATAATGGGGAAAGCTCTCGAGCTTTTCAACGCGCCCCGTATCCGAGACTTTCAAGCGAGGGATGATCTTCTGATCTCGTAGCTTCCGAATCCGGTAATGCATTGCTGCAACGATGATCAATCCGATGGAAGAAGCCCAAAGCATCTGCCCGACGCTCGGCTTGTTGCCGCTATCTGAACAAAATCAAAATCGAATCAAATCAAGGCCTGGAAAATGAAAAGGTGAGTCCATTGCGTTCATTCTATAAACTATAATCGTTTTACCTTTCTGAATCATTGTGAATTCGGAGGATGATTGGCTGCAACTTCGAATTTGTTCTCTCTAATTTGCGATCGATCGGGAGAATAAGAAAAATAGGGTTCGGAGAGCATTTTGGTTGATTCCTTTGAATTGTTCTTGTGGTTGCATGTTAGATCTGTGTGTTAGAGACGTCCAAATGGATTAGTGAGATTATTGTAAGTGTAGGATCATCACTTTGCATTTAATGGGGGAACTCATCTCTGTTTCTTTACTTTGAGCTTTTCAATGGCTGCAACTGCATTTTCTATTTTAGGATTTTTTTTTTTAAAAATTTTTATTTTCCGTAGGATTTGAAGATAATAAAGAGAAGGAAATGTCTATGTGATCTAAAATTGCTTATTTATAGTCAACATTTTTTTGTGGTGTAAAATGTTTAATTATGGGTCACATCATTTTGTTGTTTAATTTTAGAAATTAAAATTAGTTTAATAAATTTTTGATAAGTTTGAAATTTTTAAAAAATAATAGTATGTTAATAAAATTTATAATTTTAAAAGTTGGAGACGAAATTGACATATTATTTTTGTGTGTATTTATTAACTTTATGAAAAGATATTTAATTTCATGCAATTTTTCATTCTATGAAATGAAATTTGGTCCTTGAAAAACTATTTTATTTTTATATATTTAATTTTATCTTAAATAAATCTTAATAACTATTTTCAAATAAATTAATTTAATAAAATTATATAAAATTTTAATTATAAATGTTTAATACAATTTGTATATGATAGATTAAACTACATTATATTATAAAATTATATAAATTTTCTTTGATTTAACTTTCATTTATATATATATACCTTAAAATTTGTATTTTGAGTTTATTTAATAGTTAATATTAATAAAATTATATAAAATTTTAATTATAAATATTTCATACAATTTGTATATGATAGAATAAACTACATTAAATAAGTGTATTATAAAATTATATAAATTTTCTTTGATTTAACTTTCATTTATATATATCTTAAATTTTGCATTTTGAGTTTATTTAGTAGTTAATATTAATAATTCTTCTCAATAATAAAATTGTAAATAATTAGTATGACAATCAAATTGAAAATTAATTATAAATGTCATCTTTCAAAAATTAAATATAATTAATTTATTTCATTCATTTTAATCTTGAAAATGATTGGTAGATAAAAATAATTTTTTATTATAAAAATAAAAAAGAAATAGCAAAAAGAAAACCCAAAACCACACACAAAACACAAATAATTGAAAAAAAAATAAAATATGTTAAAAAGAGTTATAAGAATATAATTAACCTAAATAATAAAAAAATTAAAAAAAAATCATATTTAGAAATAAATGTAAGAAATAATATAAAATAAGAAAGAACAATAAAAAAACAATAAAAAAAATAAAGGAAGGGAAAATAACTCTTTGTTATGTAAAACAATTAATTTCTCTATAATAATGATATATATATATATATATATACACACACACCTGTATACATATATATACACATACATCTATATGTAGATATATGTATGTATATGTAGATAAATGTATGTATGTATACATATATGCATATATGTATATTTTTCAGTTAAATATGACCCATAAGTCACCTTTCTATTCTATTGATATTGTGTTTGATGATATTGTGTTATAATAATAAAGTTTAGTTAAATATGACTCAGTAACTTAGTCACCTTTATATTCTATTGATATCGTGTAAAAATATTCTTATATTTATGATGATAACGTGCATAATATATATTCAACGAAATAACTTACCTTTAACATTTATTTTTGTTTTCGAAACTTTCCTATATATGAAATATAAATCTAAAGTATATAATATATTAATACACTTAATATACCAATAACAATAAATATGAAAAAGATTTTGTTTTTGTTATACATGAAAATGTGACATAAGGAGCTTTATTTATAATGCGGGACATTATCTCCTGCAGCCGGAAGCTTGGACATGGATCGATCAATCCATTGATAAGAGTCTAAAGATCTTTGGCAATGGTGTGAATACCCGATTTCGGGAGGATCGATGGATGGGACATTCTGCTCCAAAGCTCGGATTTCCTTGTCTTTATGTACTCACCTTCTATCATAGAAGCCGCCATTGCTGAATTGTGGTCTACCGAAGCTGCCTCTTGAAGTCTTACTGAGAAGAAATCTGTTGGGTGATGAAATCGAGGTATGAACTACTCTATCTCTAACCTTCTATCCACTTTTAATTGGAACGATCAAGAGGAGATATGAGTTTGAAGCATTGAAAACGATGGGAATTTTTCATTAAGATCATTGACTTGAGCTCTTGTTTCTGTTGTGATAATATGGGAAACAAAATCTTTATCGCTCTGTGGAAGGTTAGGGTTCAATTAGAGGCGAGTCTCTTTTAACTTTTAAATTTGTGTGTCTAAGCTTTGAAAACTAAAGAACTTAATTAAGAATTCAAATACTTGTGGAAAATTATGATAAAGAAATGGTGAAAAAACAAGCATGGTTTTCAGAAATAGAAAACTATAAAGAAATTGTTATCAAACGGCATTCATGCTCTATTCAGACACAAAATTCAAGTATGTGTTTAAATAAATTAGTTAATTACAACAAGTGTATTAGACACAACGTTAAAAGTTCATGAATTTATTATATACAAAATTAAGAGTTTGAAGATTTATTTGACATTTTTAAAGTTTAATGACCAATTAAATACAAAGAGTTAATTTCCGAGCTTAGCTTCTCCGGTTTATCACTTGTGAAAAACTAAGGCTAAGAATCCACCGTATAAATTTTGATTAGGTTGTTTCCTATTAAAGGTCCTATGTTTGATTAGGTTGATCTTCACCTACATATAAGGGGGAGTGGCGTAGTGGAGATAATTTCTCAAAACCCATCCGCTTAAACTTTTGAGTTGATTGATGATTTAACATAATTTTTCTTCTGGTGTGTTCTTTATATTTATTCTTCCTTGCCATTTTTCTCTCGCACTGTAGGTAAGATTAATCCTAAAACTACTTAGACTTGTGAGATTATGAAGCTGAACCCTCTTCAGTTGTGTTAAAGTAGTGAGAGAAAAACAAGTAACTAAGAAAAATTGGAATTAATGAGCTGAAGAGAATTTCATTTTGTAATAGAATAATGTAATTTCCATTACTCAAACAACCAGGTCACTGTACAGTATTATCCTATACTTCCTAAATCTGGAGGTGGCAAAACTGTGATCAAGAACATTTCATTTTTGTTCTTCCAACTTTCATGATCTATGCAGCCTAGCAGTGAGATTTATGAAAGTATTTTCTCTGCATGGAATCGTCAAGCCGCCCATTGGATGGCGAAATCCAAATTCCTCTTCTGATCTATTGAGCAGATCTACAAAAGAAGGATGCTTCAAGTATGATATAGGTACCACAAATCTCTTCCTTTGAATCTCTCCCACATAGACTGCAATGTGGCCTTTGGGAACATTAGATTGATTTCTTGTAGATAGAGCTTGCGTTTTCAGAATCTGCTTGGCATTAAGAAGAATCGATGGCAAACGGATTCCCATATCGGAAATTTCCTCGAAACAAGAGAGGGGTGACTGACTTTGAATGGTGTTCTGCTTGATTTTGAATTTGATGTAGGAAATAGAGTACTTGTTGGATAAGAATGGCTTTATTTCTTATTATATTTATAAACTAGGAACCGGAGAGGAGAACAAAAAAATATGGCAGATAGGTGTGTTTGAGCCCTACTTCTCCAAAGGCTCACATGGGTTTGCTCTATCTATTAGAATTTCTTTCATTTCCTCGTTGGTCCCACTTTTTCCAATAACAAGTGGTCAAAGAAAACTTCACCAAGTTCGTCAGTAGCAACATACCATGTGATACTCCCAATCCTCATTAAGTGCTTCCATTAGTGGACCTATTGCAGTGGCTGAGAGTACATTGGTGGTGATAGGAGCTGTGAGTTAAATGAAATCTGAGCAGCTTCTCTCGCCTACAAGCTGGTTTCATTGATGAAGAAATTTCCTCTTGCAAAGTGGTCCAATCACACGGATATGTTGGCTTGTCTTTACACTTTCCTTACAAAGCCATCTGTTTTGATGTGCTATTCCACTGGAACAAGCATGGTGTTGTTTGAAAATTGAAATACAAATGGGCCTATACTTGAGCAATTCATGGCATACATTTCAAACACACATGGGAGCCGAGAGAAAGGATGAGATCAAAATAGAAAATTCTTGTGAGCTTACAAAGTCATGTTAAGTGGGTCCTCTAAGTTGCTAAGCTACCGATGATAGTGAGCCCACTTTTAAGCTCAATGGAAATGCTCAGGCAACTTCTCACTTCATAACTCTATAAATATAGATCCTATATTAGTTTGAAGTACAAGTTTGAGCTCTGAATTTCACAATTCTACTTCCAACCAAGGCTAAACTTAAGAGTTGTTTACAGTTTCTTGATCATTGCGAATAGATTTAGCAATGGGAATTCGTTTGCCATCATCCCTGCTGCCTACTGCCAAGCAAATTCTCAAGATGCAATTGGGTTTTGTCAAGAAGCAGTCAGATGTTGTTCCCAGAGGTCATGTTGCTGTATTGTGGGAGATACCCAAAGGAAGCGACTTGTGGTTCCTGTTTCGTACTTGAACCATTACCATCATCCACATGGAGGTCTAACAATTTCTTGCAAAGAGGGCACGTTCATTAATCTTACTTCTAGACTGCAACATTCTTGAAGGATGAAGATGCTGGAATAGGCATCAATCAATTTTTGACACAGTTTTTTCCTGAATTGATTTCTTTCTGACTCCCTCCTGAATGTTGTGTACAAATACAACCTTAACCCTTTTGGAATGTAAATGAGTTTCTTTCTTAGTGAATTTCCTACCAAAATGTAATACAAATAGATTTTGAGTATCACTTCATGTTCCTCTTCTTATTCTTTGATACTCTTGTCTGTTCATTGCTGTCTGTCATGCAGAATTGGATGTTTTTTTTTTTTGGCTATTATACATGTTCAAAATGGAACAGAGAGACAACCTTTGCATACAATAGGGTCCAAATTCCATGAACACGACCTCATTCTGTTCATAGAAGAAAATGCAGGTGGCGTTGACAGTAATTAAATCTTGGATTGAATATTGGATAACGGAGCTCTCTTTCATAGCCATTATGAGGCCCTCCATAAATATATACGAGATATGAGCTCTCTCCCATTGTTTTGACGGTTTGTCTCTACAAAATCCCAAAAATTGGCCAGCCTCCTATTAAACAGATCGACCAGTCTCTGCCATCAATACTACATAGTTAACTGCAGAAGGCAGATAGGTTGGATATTGATCTTCGTTTATTAGATCAAACAAAGAGTAAAATTTCATAGAAAAATTTAACTTGTCACAAAAGGATCCAGTATGCTTTGGATAGGTTGAACTTTGAAGTTTGAATCTTCAAGATGCTACCTAGTTTCTTCAGTGATGTATCATGATTTGGCAACAGTTTTTCTTAGTTCCATGGATTGCAGGTTAACCATCACAAATAAAGCAGAAAAGAAAAGGCTATATAGAAATTGACGCTAAATTTGTGTTTTCTTTTGATTGTAAATGCACCATTACTATGCCACTCAATTACAGGCAAGAAAGGCATTCCATTCTACAACATTCTAGTATGGGCCAAAATACAATTGAGTCAGAAACAACCAGAAAAGGTTGTAAAAAATTGCAGCTTGAGCATTGCTGTTCATCCTTCAAGATACGTGCAGTCTAGAAGTGAGATCGATGAAGGCATCTTCTTTGCAAGGAATTGTTAGGCCCCCTTGAGGATGATGGAAGCCAAACTTCTCCTCTGCGTGGCTGAGAAGTTGCTGGAACGACGGATGATTTAGATAAGATATTGGAACCACGAACCGCTTCCTTTGAATTTCTCCCACATAAACTGCCACATGGCCTTTTGGAACATCCAACTGGTTTTTGGTGAAACCTGGCTGCATCTTCAGAATTTGCTTGGCATGAGGAACCAAAGATAGAAACCGAATCCCCATTTTCGAAAGAGTGTCAAAAAGGTCAGGTTCTGATCTGATTGGTATGGGCTAGCTGGTGACTGTGGTACTTAAAAATGAGTTGAATTTGGTGTTTGAGGCTCATTTTGATGTTTATATTTATAGAGTTTCTGAAGGAAGTGCTATCTATGCTGGTGAGTGTGGCCTTCCCAGTGGCTATGTGGGGTAGTGATGTCTGGTGGTTGGGTATATTTGAGTATACTGGTTCACATGGCTTTGCCCAACTCATGAAAGGGCCATCCATTTTCTTCTGCCACTCCATAATTCTCTGTATTCTTTACCACAAATTTCAGGTTCATTGGTAAATTGTTTCCATATATGTCCTGTCAACTCATAGATACTTCCAGACAAAGTCCATTACATTGGAAATAGAAATGCTGATTCTTGAAGCTGAAGAGAAAATTTACATGTCTTTGTCATACAGTGCTTGTTTGTTTTAAGTTTCATTTCACCATCATGAACTAATTTTCCCCTGGCAAGACTTTGCTCGACAAACCTCTATATGGTGTTTTAGCTATGTTCTATCAATACTTTGATCTCTTACTTAAAAAAATCATCATTTTGGGAGTGTTTGTTTAAATTGTGTTTCTTTGTCTTATCAACCTATATAAACTAGTAGCACGTTTAAGGTATCAAGGGGGTCAATGAGTGTGGAAATACCGAAAACGAGCAAGTGTGTAACAGCTCAAGCCCACCGCTTGCAGATATTGTCTGCTTTGGCCCGTTACGTATCACCGTCAGCCTCACGTTTTAAGACGCTTCTACTAGGAAGAGGTTTCCACACCGTTATAAGGAATGTTCCGTTCCCTCTCCAACCAACGTAGAATCTCAGGAAATATGAGTCTTAACCACTAGGATCTCAGGAAGTGTGAGCCTTAACTACTGGATTGTTTTAGAATGATCCAACCTCTTGCAAGCATAGGGGTTTGGTTACATGTCAATAGAAATCATAGGTAGAAATACATAGGTTTTTCTTTTCCACCACACTCTGACCTTTTGAAAGGATACAAGGATGCCTTCCATACTCCAAAATCTAACCCATGCTAGCCCTCGAAGCGGGCCACAACTGAAGGGCACTCTCACTCCCATTCCTTTATGAGGTCCTATCGGGATAGGTAAGTCCAAGCCTTTCACCTCTTCCCGACTGAACAATAGATCGAGAGAGTTGTGCAAAAGAGTAACTTCAGTTGGATTCATGAAGTTAAGGAATCCAGGTATGCATTGGAGTATAGTGACCAATGCAATATGAGGGTGAGCAATGAAGTCTTGCTTCCCACTACATCCACTCAGTATTCACTTTTCTCGAGTAATGAATTCTTAAGAAATGAAGAGGAGAAACTATGCAGCTTGTAAATCCGATCTCTCAACGGCTCTTTATATAATATCAACATGAGATGCCACTAACATAACACATCAGGAAAACGATACCAGTGGAGAGAACTGACATGGATATACTGATCTACACATGGATATACTGATCTAGACATAGATGGCTGATGAAAATAGATAAGTCAGACCTACAAAGAAACATTATGCACACCTCTTATTATACACAGACAAACACATATTAAACAATCCTGAATGATAAACCTCTAAGATTATAGCATAGTTGAGACAATTATATTCATCATGCCCCGAAGAATAGTTTAAAAGTGGGCTGGCATTTCATTATTGTCTGATTGGTCTTTATAAAGAAAACTTTATTTCAGTTTCAGTATCCACTGATATATATTTTATCTCTGCATTAGATTAGAGTGGCAGGTCATGACCACTGATGAAAGCTTGTCACATGGGTCTGGTATCAGTTGATCTTCCACGACATGGCATTTGATTTTGAAGCTTTCTTGACCTCTTATTTTGGATTAGAAATGCACCTCAGTGAAACGAGTGGGACTGCCCACCAGTGTTGGCCTTCTTAGAGTGGCAGGACATGTATTCAAACCAAATAAGCAACCCATGTGAGCATTTATGAAGTAGGTCATCTTAGTCACCTACTTGATACTGTTTTCCTCTCATCACTTCTGTATTCCTGGTTCCATAAATACAGATCAAACGAACTTCAATCTTCAACTCACATTTCAAACACATCCTCACTCAAGTACTACGCTTCAAGCAAAAAGCCTTTCAAAATTAGACATGGGAATCAGACTACCTTCACTTCTCCTCAATGCCAAGCAAATTGTCAAAATGCAAACTGTTTCTTCTAGAAATCAATGTGGCGTTCCCAAAGGCCATATTGCAGTCTATGTGGGAGATACCGAAAGGAAGCGGTTTGTGGTTCCAATATCATACTTGAACCATCCGTCTTTTTCAGCTTTGCTCAAGACTGCAGAAGAAGAATTTGGATTTAAACATCCAACTGGGGGATTGACAATTCCTTGCAGAGAAGATGTGTTCATCAACCTCACATCCAGGCTGCAAACTTCCTGAAAGAGGGAAGAAAAACAAATTTCCTCACAATTTTGCCAGATTCTCTCCATTTTTTCCCCATAGTTAAGAGTAGAAATCAATGTATAGTTAGTTTCAACGTGTTAATGATCGGGTAGCTGAAAGGTGATAACACATTGCCTATCTACCTGAACATCATTTACACAACTTACAATTACAGATGTGTAAACATGGAAATACAAATACATAGTCACATTTCTTACTAAAAAAGGACTGTCCTCCTCCATGAACTTTAATTCATCTGAATTCTTCATGTTTTCTGCTTTCCATGTTCATGAAACATTATTTGGATATATCTGGGCGCAAAACCTGTTCCTCGATGGTGCTCATAAGAGATGGAAGTAACTACTGAGTGACTGTAATAATCAGAAAATTAGAAACGTTCTCATTGGAACGGCATCAGAATTTTCCTATATTGGTTATTGTTGAACTCAAAATTCTCACTCACTAGGAAGTTCTTATTTTCATGCATCTGAAAATTCACTTACATGAAAACTCAAAATTTTCATCATTCAAACCCAAAACCCATAGCCATATGCATCCATTCAATACTTGTTGATAACATCCATAGCTTTACTGCTTTATATAAATAGAAATTAAAAATTGTATTCTTCTTTACTAATTTTGCTCTTGTGGATATAGTTACTGTCTAAAGAAATTCAGACGAAAATTCTATAAGGCCTTTTCAATTGGACAATCTTTCTCCTTTCCTGAACGATAGAACTGTTTTCTCTAACTGGACCTTCTGTTATAAGATTAAGATGGATATCGGAATCTGTTTATTAAACTAACATAGAGTAGTATTTTCCACACAGACTGATAAGTGTTAGCGTAGCAATACAGGGAGGGGGAGTGGTGAAGTATTGATACAACTAAATTTATCATAACCCATCCGCTTAAACTTTTTAGTTGATTGGTGATTTAACATAACTTTTCTGGTATGTTCTTTCTATTTATTCTCCCTTGCTATTTTTCTCTCACGGTAGGTAACAATAATCCTAAAACTACGTAGACTTGTGAGATTATGAAGCTGAACCCTCTTCAGTTATGTTAAAGGAGCGAGAGAAAAACAAGTAACTAATAAAAATGGAATTAATGAGATGAAGAGAATTTCTTTTTGTAATAGAATAATGTAATTTCCATTGCTGAAACAACCAAGTCACTGTACAGTATTATCCTACTCTACTTCCTAAATCTGGAGGTCGCAAAACTGTGATCAAGAACATTTCATTTTTGTTCTTCCAACTTTCATGATCTATGCAGCCTAGCAGTGAGATTTATGAAAGCATCTTCTCTGCATGGAATCGTCAAGCCGCCCATTGGATGGCGAAATCCAAATTCCTCTTCTGATCTATTGAGTAGATCTACAAAAGAAGGATGCTTCAAGTATGATATAGGTACCACAAATCTCTTCCTTTGAATCTCTCCCACATAGACTGCAATGTGGCCTTTGGGAACACCAGATTGATTTCTTGTAGATAGAGCTTGCGTTTTCAGAATCTGCTTGGCATTAAGAAGAATCGATGGCAAACGGATTCCCATATCGAAAGTTTCCTCGAAACAAGAGGGGTGACTGACTTTGAATGGTGTTCTGGTTGATTCTGAATTTGATGTAGGAAATAGAGTACTTGTTGGATGTGAATGGCTTTAGTTCTTATGTATATTTATAAGCTAGGAACTGGAGAGGAGAACAAAAAGAGTATATTTTGAGGGCCGACTTCTCCAAAGGCTCACATGGGTTTGCTCTATCTATTAGAATTTCTTTCATTTCCTCGTTGGTCCCACTTTTTCCAATAACAAGTGGTCAAAGAAAACTTCACCAAGTTCGTCATTATCTCTTGGAATATGAGTAGCAACATACCATGTGATACTCCCAATCCTCATTAAGTGCTTCCATTAGTGGACCTATTGCAGTGGCTGAGAGTACATTGGTGGTGATAGGAGCTGTGAGTCAAATGAAATCTGAGCAGCTTCTCTCGCCTACAAGCTGGTTTCATTGATGAAGAAATTTCCTCTTGCAAAGTGGTCCAATCACACGGATATGTTGGCTTGTCTTTACACTTTCCTTACAAAGCCATCTGTTTTGATGTGCTATTCCACTGGAACAAGCATGGTGTTGTTTGAAAATTGAATTACCAAATGGGCCTATAATTGAGCAATTTCAAACACACATGGGAGACAAGAGAAAGGATTAGATCAAAATAGAAAATTCTTGTGAGCTTACAAAGTCATGTTAAGTGGGTCCTCTAAGTTGTTAAACTACCGATGCTAGTGCGCCCACTTTTAAGCTCATTGGAAATCCTCAGGCCACTTCTCTCTTCATAGCTCTATAAATATATAACCTATATTAGTTTGAAGTACACGTTTGTGCTCTGAATATCACGATTCTACTTCCAACCAAGGCTAAACTTAAGAGTTGTTTACAGTTTCTTGACCATTTTCAATAGATTTAACAATGGGGATTCGTTTGCCATCATCCCTGCTAACTGCTGCCAAGCAAATTCTCAAGATGCAGTTGGGTTTTGTCAAGAAGCAGTCAGATGTTGTTCCTAGAGGTCATGTTGCTGTATATGTGGGAGATACCCAAAGAAAGCGATTTGTGGTTCCTGTTTCATACTTGAACCATCCTTCATTTCAACAACTACTAAACCGAGGAGAAGAAGAGTTTGGTTACCATCATCCACATGGAGGTCTAACAATTCCTTGCAAAGAGGGTGCATTCATTGATCTTACTTCTAGACTGCAACATTCTTGAAGGATGAAGATGATGGAATAGGCATCAATCAATTCTTGACACAGTTTTTTTCCTGAATTGATTTCTTTCTAACTCCCCTGCATGAATGTTGTGTACAAATACAATCTTAAGCCTTTTGGAATGTAAATGAGTTTCTTTCTTAGTGAATTTCCTAACAAAACCTAATAAAGATAGATTTTCAGTCTCATTTCATGTTCCTCTTCTTATTCTTTGATACTCTTGTCTGTTCATTGCTGTCTGTGGCGCAGAAGTGGATGTTTTTTTTGGCTATTATACATGTTCAAAATGGAACAGAAAGACAACCTTTGCATACAATAGGGTCCAAATTCCATTAACACGATCTCATTCTATTCATAGAAGAAAATGCAGGTGACGCTGACAGTAAGTAAATCTTGGATTGAATATTGTATAATGGACCTCTCGTTCATAGCCATTATACTCCAAAAATATACGTGAGCTATGAGCACTCTCCCATCATTTCGACGGTTTGTCTCTACAAGATATTAATTTGAATTGGAATATGATCATATTTCCTTTGTAAGGAAGCGGTTTGTAGTTCCAATATCATACTTGAACCACCCTTCTTTTGTAGCTCTGCTCAAGAGCGCTGAAGAAGAATTTGGATTTAGACATCCAACGAGAGGTTTGACAATTCCCTTTAGGGAAATTCCTTTATCAACCTCACTTCTAGGCTGCATACTTCTTGAAAGAGGGAAGAAAAACAAATTTCCACACAGTTCTGCAGAATTTCTTTCGTTTTTCTTCTTCTTTTTGCCACAGTTGAGGAGTAGGATATCAAATGCATAGTTAGTTTCTATATTTATGAAGAAGCAAAATTTGATTCAACATCAGTGTAAGATTTACAATTGCAGAGATGTAAATATATAAATGGATTTACATTTTCTTATAGAAAAACTGCTTGCTTCAGCCTCTGATTTTCAATCTATTTAAACTCCATCTTTTGACTCTTTTCTTTATGTTTTTGTGTTATATTACTTGGACAATTGAATCTTCAAGATGCTACCCAGTTTCATCAGTGATGTATCATGATCTGGCAACAGTTTTTCTTAGTTCCATGTATTGCAGGATAACCATCACGAATAAAGCAGAAAAGAAAAGGCTATATAGAAATTGAGGCTAAATTTGTTTTTTCTTTTGATTCACTTCTGTTGGTAAATGCACCATTACAATGCCACTCATTTACAGTCAAGAAAGGCATTCCATTCTACAACATTCTAGTATGGGTCAAAATACAATTGAGTCAGAAACAACCAGAAAAGGTTGTAAAAAATTGCAGCTTGAGCATTGCTGTTCATCCTTCAAGATACTTGCAGTCTAGAAGTGAGATCGATGAAGGCATCTTCTTTGCAAGGAATTGTTAGTCCCCCTTGAGGATGATGGAACCCAAACTTCTCCTCTGCGTGGCTGAGAAGTTGCTGGAACGATGGATGGTTTAGGTAAGATATTGGAACCATGAACCGCTTCCTTTGGATCTCTCCCACGTAAACTGCCACATGGCCTTTTGGAACGTCCAACTGGTTTTTGGTGAAACCTGACTGCATCTTCAGAATTTGCTTGGCATGAGGAACCAAAGATAGAAATCGAATCCCCATTTTGTTGAGATGAAAGAGTGTCAAAAAGGTCAGGAGTTAACTATGAGAGGATGTAGTACTTAAAATGAGTTGAATTTGGTGTTTGAGTCTCATTTTGATGTTTATATTTATAGAGTTTCTGAAGGAAGTGCTGTCTATGCTGGTGAGTGTGGCCTTTCCAGTGGCTATGTGGGGTATTGATGTCTGGTGGTTAGGTATATTTGAGTATACCGGTTCACATGGCTTTGCCCAACTCATGAAAGGGCCATCCATTTTCTTCTCCCAGTCCATATTCTCTGTATTCTATACCACTAATTTCAGGTTCATTGGTCAATTGTTTCCGTATATCTCCTGTCAACTCATAGATACTTCCACTCCATATTCTCTGTTTTGGCATTTGGTTTTGAAGTTTTCTTGACCTCTTATTTTGGATTATAAATGCACCTCATTGAAACAAGTGGGACTGTCACCAGTAGTCAGGGCACATAAGGAAGTGCCTGTCTTCAAACCAAGTAAGCAACCCATGTGAGCATTTATGAAGTAGGCCATCTTAGACACCCATTTGAGCACTTGATACTGTTTTCTTCTCATCACCTCTGTATTCCTGAATCCATAAATACAGGTCAAATAAACTTCAATCTTCAACACAAATTTCAAACACATCCTCATTCAAGCACTACGCTTCAAGCAGAAAGCCTTCCAAAACTAGTCATGGGAATCAGACTACCTTCACTTCTCCTCAGTGCCAAGCAAATTGTCAAAATGCAGACTGTTTCGTCTAGAAATCAATGTGCCGTTCCCAAAGGCCATATTGCAGTCTATGTGGGAGATATCGAAAGGAAGCGGTTTGTGGTTCCAATATCATACTTGAACCATCCGTCTTTTTCAGCTTTGCTCAAGACTGCCGAAGAAGAATTTGGATTTAAACATCCAACTGGAGGATTGACAATTCCTTGCAGAGAAGAGGTGTTCACCAATCTCACATCCAGTCTGCAAACTTCCTGAAAGAAGGAAGAAAGACGATCCAGCACACAATTTTGCCACATTCTCTCCATTTTTTCCCCATAGTTAAGAGTAGAAATCATTGTACAGTTAGTTTCAACGTGTTAATGATTGGGTAGCTGAAAGGTGATAACACATTGCCTATCTACCTGAACATCATTTACACAACTTACAATCACAGATCTGTAAACATGGAAATACAAATACTTAGTCACATTTCTTACTTAAAAAGGACTACCCTCCTCCATGAACTTTAATTCATCTAAATTCTTCATGTTTTTTCCTTTCGATGTTCTTGAAACACTATTTGGATATATCTGGGCCCAAAACCTGTTCCCTGATGGTGCTCATAAGAGATGAAACTACGGAGTGTTTGTAATAATCAGAATATTAGAAAGGTTCTCACTGGAACGGCATCAGAATTATCCTATATTGGTTACTGTTGAACTCAAAATTCTCATTCACTAGGAAGTTCTTATTTTCATGCATCTGAAAATTCACTTACATGAAACTCAAAATTTTCATCATTCAAACCCAAAACCCATGGCCATATGCATCCATTCAATATTTATTGATAACATCCATAGCTTTACTGCTTCATATAAATAGATATGAAAATTTATAGCTTTACTGCTTCATATAAATAGATATGAAAATTTGTATTCTTAAATAATTTTGCTCTTGTGGATATAGTTATTGTCTACAGAAATTCAGACGAAACTTCTATAAAGCCTTTTCAATTGAATACAATCTTTCTCCTTTCCTGAACGATAAAGCTGTTTTCTCTAACTGGACCTTCTGTTATAAGATGAATATTTTTTACCATATTTGGTGTAAATAGTTGGCAAATAAGATGGATATCGGAATCTGTTTATTAAACTAACATAGATTAGTATTTTCCACACAGACTGATAAGTGTTAGCGTAGCAATCCAGTGGTGAAGTATTGATACAACTAAATTTATCATAATCTATCAGCTTAAACTTTTGGGTTGATCGGCCATTTAACATATTTTTTCTGGTATGTTCTTTATATTTATTCGTTCGTTGCCATTTTTCTCTCGCACTGTAGGTTACATGAAGCTGAACCCTCTTCAGTTATGTTAAAGCAGTGAGAGAAAAAACAAGTAACTATAAAAATCTGAATTAATGAGCTGAAGACACAATTTTTTTGTAAGAGAATAATGTAATTTCCATTTCTCAAACAACCAAGTCACTGTACAGTATTATCTCACTCTACTTCCTAAATCTGGGGGTGGCAAAACTGTGATCAAGAACATTTCCTTTTTGTTCTTTCAACTTTCATGATCTGGGCAGCCTAGCAGCGAGATTTAAGAAAGCATCTTCTCTGCATGGAATCGTCAAGCCGCCCATTGGATGGCAAAATCCAAATTCTTCTTCTGATCTATTGAGAAGATCTACAAAACAGGGATGCTTCAAGTATGATATAGGTACCACAAATCTCTTCCTTTGAATCTCTCCCACGTAGACTGCAATGTGGCCTTTGGGAACATTGAATTGATTTCTTGCAGATATAGCTTGCATTTTCAGAATCTGCTTGGCATTAAGAAGAATCGATGGCAAACGGATTCCCATATCGGAGATTTCCTCGAAACAAGAGAGGGGTGACTGACTTTGAATGGTGTTCTGGTTGATTCTGAATTTGATGTAGGAAATAGAGTACTTGTTGGATGGGAATGGCTTTATTTCTTATGTATATTTATAAACTAGGAACTGGAGAGGAGAACGAAAAGAGTATATTTTGAGGGCCTACTTCTCCAAAGGCTCACATGGGTTTGCTCTATCTATTAGAATTTCTTTCATTTCCTCGTTGGTCCCACTTTTTCCAATAACAAGAGGCCAAGAAAACTTCACCAAGTTCGCCATTATCTCTTGGAATATGAGTGGCAACATACCATGTGATACTCCCAATCCTCATTAAGTGCTTCCATTAATGGACCTATTGCAGTGGCTGAGAGTACATTGGTGGTGATAGGAGCTGTTAGTCAAATGAAATCTGAGCAACTTCCCTCACCTACAACCTGGGTTCATTGATGAAGAAATTTCCTCTAGCAAAGTTGTCCAATCACACGGATATGTTGGCTTGTCTTTACACTTTCCTTACAAAGCCATCTGTTTTGATGTGCTATTCCACTGGAACAAGCATGGTGTTGTTTGAAAATTGAATTACAAATGGGCCTATAATCGAGCAATTTCAAACACACATGGGAGCCAAGAGAAAGGATGAGATTGAAATAGAAAATTCTTGTGAGCTGACAAAGTCATGTTAAGTGGGTCCTCTAAGTTGTTAAACTACCGATGCTAGTGAGCCCACTTTTAAGCTCACTGGGAATGCTTAGGCAATTTCTCTCTTCATAACAATATAAATATAGATCCTATATTAGTTTGAAGTACATGTTTGAGCTCTGAATATCGCGATTCTACTTCCAACCAAGGCTAAACTTAAGATTTGCTTACAGTCTCTTGATCGTTTCCAATAGATTTAACAATGGGGATTCGTTTGCCATCATCCCTGCTGCCAAGCAAATTCTCAAAATGCAGTTGGGTTTGGTCAAGAAGCAGTCAGATGTTATTCCTAGAGGTCATGTTGCTGTGTATGTGGGAGATACCCAAAGGAAGCGATTTGTGGTTCCTGTTTCGTACTTGAACCATCCTTCATTCCAACAACTGCTAAACCGAGTAGAGGAAGAGTTTGGTTACCATAATCCACATGGAGGTCTAACAATTCCTTGTAAAGAGGGCGCATTCCTTGATCTTACTTCTAGACTGCAACACTCTTGAAGGATGAAGATGCTGGAATAGGCATCAATCAATTTTTGACACATTTTTTTCCTGAATTGATTTCTTTCTAACTCGTGCACGAAACAATCTTAAGCCTTTTGGAATGTAGATGAGTTTCTTTGTTAGTTAATTTCCTACCAAAACATAATACAAATAGATTCTCAGTATAATTTCATGTTCCTCTTCTTATTCTTTGATACTCTTGTCTGTTCGTTGCTGTCTGTGATGCAGAAGTGGATGTTCTTTTGGCTGTTATACATGTTCAAAATGGAACAGAAAGATAACCTTTGCTTACAGTAGGGTCCAAGTTCGATTAACACGACCTCATTCTGTTCATAGAAGAAAATGCAGGTGGCGTTGGGAGTAATTAAATCTTGGATTGAATACTGTATAATGGACCTCACTTCCATAGCCATTATGAGACCCTCCATAAATATATGCGAGCTATGAGCTCTCTCCCATCGTTTTGACGGTTCGTCTCTACAGCATATTAATTTGAATTGGAATGTTTTATATTTCCTTTGTAAGGAAGCGGTTTGTAGTTCCAACATCATACTTGAGCCACCCTTCTTTTGTAGCTCTGCTCAAGAGCGCTCAACAAGAATTTGGATTTAGACATCCAACAGGAGGTTTGACAATTCTTTTTAGAGAAGATGCCTTTATCAACCTCATTTCTAGGCTGCATACTTCTTGAAAGAGTGAAGAAAAACAAATTTCCACACAGTTTTGCAGAATTTCTTTCATTGTTTTCTTCTTTTTGCCACAGTTGAGGAGTAGAATATCAATGCATAGTTAGTTTCTATATGTATGAAGAAGCAAAAGTTGATTCAATATCAGTGTACGATTTATAATTGCAGAGATGGAAATATAGAAATGGATTCACATTTTCTTATTGAAATACTGCTTGCTTCAGCCTCTGAATTTTGATCTATTTAAACTCCATCTTTTGACTCTTTCCTTGATGTTTTTGTGTTATGATACTTGGACATATATGTGCACTAATTTTTTTTCACAGACATTGATAATCTTGAAGTGAATGATCATTTTTCAATCTCAATGGCATTCATTCAAATTCTGGAAGGTATCTTATTTACAAAGAAGTGTTAGATCACCTTGCACATGATGGAAACTAAACTCTTTCTCGACATGTTTGAGAACTCTTGGAATGAAGAACGGCTGAGATTCGATACTGTGACCATAGGGGTTTTCTTTCGATCTCTCCCATCTAAACTGCTAAATAATCGTCTAGAACATCTAGTTGGTTCAGGTGAAACGTATTGCATCTCAAGGATTTTCTTGCTATGCAGAATTAGAAAGTTAAGACCCGGTTCGATAACCATTTGAATTTTAGTTCTTATTTTGTAAAAGTAAGCTGACAAACACTACTTCTTAAGTGATTTATCATGATCTGGCAACAGTTTTTCTTAGTTCCATGGATTGCAGGTTAACCATCACAAATAAAGCAGAAAAGAAAAGGCTATATAGATATTGAAGCTAAATTGTGTTTTCTTTTGATTCACTTCTGTTGGTAAATGCACCATTACAATGCCACTCATTTACAGGCAAGAAAGGCATTCCATTCTACAACATTCTAGTATGGGTCAAAATACAATTGAGTCAGAAACAACCAGAAAAGGTTGTAAAAAATTGCAGCTTGAGCATTGCTGTTCATCCTTCAAGATACTTGCAGTCTAGAAGTGAGATCGATGAAGGCATCTTCTTTGCAAGGAATTGTTAGGCCCCCTTGAGGATGATGGAAGCCAAACTTCTCCTCTGCGTGGCTGAGCAGTTGCTGGAACGACGGGTGGTTTAGGTAAGATATTGGAACCACGAACCGCTTCCTTTGAATCTCTCCCACGTAAACTGCTACATGGCCTTTTGGAACATCCAACTGGTTTTTGGTGAAACCTGACTGCATCTTCAGAATTTGCTTGGCATGAGGAACCAAAGATAGAAATCGAATCCCCATTTTGTTGAGATGAAAGAGTGTCAAAAAGGTCAGGAGCTAACTATAAGAGGATGTAGTACTTAAAATGAGTTGAATTCGGTGTTTGAGTCTCATTTTGATGTTTATATTTATAGAGTTTCTGAAGGAAGTGCTGTCTATGCTGGTGAGTGTGGCCTTTCCAGTGGCTCTGTGGGGTAGTGATGTCTGGTGGTTGGGTATATTTGAGTATACTGGTTCACATGGCTTTGCCCAACTCATGAAAGGGCCATCCATTTTCTTCTCCCACTCGATAGTCTCTGTATTCTATACCACAAATTTCAGGTTCATTGGTCAATTGTTTCCGTATATCTCCTGTCAACTTATAGATACTTCCACTCCATATTCTCTGTTTTGGCATTTGGTTTTGAAGTTTTCTTGATCTCTTATTTTGGATTATAAATGCACCTCAATGAAACCAGTGGGACTGTCACCCGTAGTCAGGGCACATATGGAAGTGCCTGTATACAAACCAAGTAAGCAACCCATGTGAGCATTTATGAAGTAGGCCATCTTAGACACCTACTGGATACTGTTTTCTTCTCATCACTTCTGTATTCCTGAATCCATAAATACAGATCTAATAAACTTCAATCTTCAACTCAAATTTCAAACACATCCTCATTCAAGTACTACGTTTCAAAAAGAAAGCCTTCCAAAACTAGACATGGGAATCAGACTACCTTCACTTCTCCTCAATGCCAAGCAAATTGTCAAAATGCAGACCGTTTCTTCTAGAAATCAATGTGGCGTTCCCAAAGGCCATATTGCAGTCTATGTGGGAGATATCGAAAGGAAGCGGTTTGTGGTTCCAATATCATACTTGAACCATCCGTCTTTTTCAGCTTTGCTCAAGACTGCTGAAGAAGAATTTGGATTTAAACATCCAACTGGAGGATTGACAATTCCTTGCAGAGAAGAGGTGTTCATCAATCTCACATCCAGTCTGCAAACTTCCTGAAAGAAGGAAGAAAGACAATCCAGCACACAATTTTGCCACATTCTCTCCATTTTTTCCCCATAGTTAAGAGTAGAAATCATTGTATAGTTAGTTTCAACGTGTTAATGATTGGGTAGCTGAAAGGTGATAACACATTGCCTATGTACCTGAACATCATTTACACAACTTACAATCACAGATCTGTAAACATGGAAATACAAATACTTAGTCACATTTCTTACTTAAAAAGGACTGCCCTCCTCCATGAACTTTAATTCATCTGAATTCTTCATGTTTTTCCTTTCCATGTTCTTGAAACATTATTTGGAAATATCTGGGCCCAAAACCTGTTCCCTGATGGTGCTCATAAGAGATTAAACTACTGAGTGTTTGTAATAATCAGAATATTAGAAACGTTCTCACTGAAATGGCATCAGAATTATCCTATATTGGTTATTGTTGAGCTCAAAATTCTCATTCACTAGGAAGTTCTTATTTTCGTGCATCTGAAAATTCACTTGCATGAAACTCAAAATTTTCATCATTCAAACCCAAAACCCATAGCCATATGCATCCATTCAATATTTATTGATAACATCCATAGCTTTACTTCTTTATATAAATAGATATGAAAATTTGTATTCTTCTTATATAATTTGGCTCTTGTGGATATCTAAAGAAATTCAGACGAAACTTCTATAAAGCCTTTTCAATTGAATACAATCTTTCTCGATAAAGCTGTTTTCTCTAACTGGACCTTCTCTTATAAGATGAATATTTTTTACCATATTTGGTGTACATAGATATTTTCCAAACAGACTGATAAGTGTTAGCGTAGCAATCCAGTGGTGAAGTATTGATACAACTAAATTTATCATAATCTATCAGCTTAAACTTTTGGGTTGATCGGCCATTTAACATATTTTTTCTGGTATGTTCTTTATATTTATTCGTTCGTTGCCATTTTTCTCTCGCACTGTAGGTTACATTAATCCTAAAACTACTTGGACTAGTGAGATTATGAAGCTGAACCCTCTTCAGTTATGTTAAAGCAGTGAGAGAAAAACAAGTAACTAATAAAAATTGGAATGAATGAGCTGATGACACAATTTTTTTGTAAGAGAATAATGTAATTCCCATTTCTCAAACAACCAAGTCACTGTACAGTATTATCTTACTCTACTTCCTAAATCTGGGGGTGGCAAAACTGTGATCAAGAACATTTCCTTTTTGTTCTTTCAACTTTCATGATCTGTGCAGCCTAGCAGCAAGATTTAAGAAAGCATCTTCTCTGCATGGAATCATCAAGCCGCCCACTGGATGGCAAAATCCAAATTCTTCTTCTGATCTATTAAGAAGATCTACAAAAGAAGGATGCTTCAAGTATGATATAGGTACCACAAATCTCTTCCTTTGAATCTCTCCCACATAGACTACAATGTGGCCTTTGGGAACATTGGATTGATTTCTTGCAGATATAGCTTGCATTTTCAGAATCTGCTTGGCATTAAGAAGAATCGATGGCAAACGGATTCCCATATCGGATATTTCCTCGAAACAAGAGAAAGGTACTGACTTTGAATGGTGTTCTGGTTGATTCTGAATTTGATGTAGGAAATAGAGTACTTGTTGGATGAGAATGGCTTTATTTCTTATGTATATTTATAAACTAGGAACTGGAGAGGAGAACAAAAAGAGTATACTTCGAGGGCCTACTTCTCCAAAGGCTCACATGGGTTTGCTCTATCGATTAGAATTTTCTTTCATTTCCTCGTTGGTCCCACTTTTTCCAATAACAAGTGGTCAAAGAAAACTTCACCAAGTTCGTCATTATCTCTTGGAATATAAGTGGCAACATACCATGTGATACTCCCAATCCTCATTAAGTGCTTCCATTAATGGACCTATTGCAGTGGCTGAGAGTACATTGGTGGTGATAGGAGCTGTGAGTCAAATGAAATCTGAGCTACTTCCCTCACCTACAAGCTGGGTTCATTGATGAAGAAATTTCCTCTTGCAAAGTGGTCCAATCACACGGATATGTTGGCTTGTCTTTACACTTTCCTTACAAAGCCATCTGTTTTGATGTGCTATTCCACTGGAACAAGCATGGTGTTGTTTGAAAATTGAAATACAAATGGGCCTATAATTGAGCAATTTGAAACACACATGGGAGCCAAGAGAAAGGATTAGATCAAAATAGAAAATTCTTGTGACGTGACAAAGTCATGTTAAGTGGGTCCTCTAAGTTGTTAAACTACCGATGCTAGTGCGCCCACTTTTAAGCTCATTGGAAATCCTCAGGCCACTTCACTCTTCATAGCTCTATAAATATATAACCTATATTAGTTTGAAGTACACGTTTGTGCTCTGAATATCACGATTCTACTTCCAACCAAGGCTAAACTCAAGAGTTGTTTACAGTTTCTTGACCATTTTCAATAGATTTAACAATGGGGATTCGTTTGCCATCATCCCTGCTGCCTACTGCCAAGCAAATTCTCAAGATGCAATTGGGTTTTGTCAAGAAGCAGTCAGATGTTGTTCCTAGAGGTCATTGTGCTGTATATGTGGGAGATATCCAAAGGAAGCGATTTGTGGTTTCTGTTTCATACTTGAACCATCCTTCATTCCAACAACTACTCAACCGAGTAGAAGAAGAGTTTGGTTACCATCATCCACTCGGAGGTCTACCAATTCCTTGCAAAGAGGGTGCATTCATTGATCTTACTTCTAGACTGCAACACTCTTGAAGGATGAAGATGATGGAATAGGCATCAATCAATTTTTGACCCATTTTTTTTTTCCTGAATTGATTTCTTTCTAACTCCCCTGGTTGTGTACAAATACAACCTTAAGCCTTTTGGAATGCAAATGAGTTTCTTTCTTAGTGACTTTCCTACCTAAACGTAATACAAATAGATTTTTCAGTCTCATTTCATGTTCCTCTTCTTATTCTTTGATACTCTTGTCTGTTCATTGCTGTCTGTCATGCAGAATTGGATTCATGTTCCTCTTCTTATTCTTTGATACTCTTGTCTGTTCATTGCTGTCTGTCATGCAGAATTGGATGTTTTTTTTTTTTGGCTATTATACATGTTCAAAATGGAACAGAGAGACAACCTTTGCATACAATAGGGTCCAAATTCCATGAACACGACCTCATTCTGTTCATAGAAGAAAATGCAGGTGGCGTTGACAGTAATTAAATCTTGGATTGAATANGAGTGTTTGTAATAATCAGAATATTAGAAACGTTCTCACTGAAATGGCATCAGAATTATCCTATATTGGTTATTGTTGAGCTCAAAATTCTCATTCACTAGGAAGTTCTTATTTTCGTGCATCTGAAAATTCACTTGCATGAAACTCAAAATTTTCATCATTCAAACCCAAAACCCATAGCCATATGCATCCATTCAATATTTATTGATAACATCCATAGCTTTACTTCTTTATATAAATAGATATGAAAATTTGTATTCTTCTTATATAATTTGGCTCTTGTGGATATCTAAAGAAATTCAGACGAAACTTCTATAAAGCCTTTTCAATTGAATACAATCTTTCTCGATAAAGCTGTTTTCTCTAACTGGACCTTCTCTTATAAGATGAATATTTTTTACCATATTTGGTGTACATAGATATTTTCCAAACAGACTGATAAGTGTTAGCGTAGCAATCCAGTGGTGAAGTATTGATACAACTAAATTTATCATAATCTATCAGCTTAAACTTTTGGGTTGATCGGCCATTTAACATATTTTTTCTGGTATGTTCTTTATATTTATTCGTTCGTTGCCATTTTTCTCTCGCACTGTAGGTTACATTAATCCTAAAACTACTTGGACTAGTGAGATTATGAAGCTGAACCCTCTTCAGTTATGTTAAAGCAGTGAGAGAAAAACAAGTAACTAATAAAAATTGGAATGAATGAGCTGATGACACAATTTTTTTGTAAGAGAATAATGTAATTCCCATTTCTCAAACAACCAAGTCACTGTACAGTATTATCTTACTCTACTTCCTAAATCTGGGGGTGGCAAAACTGTGATCAAGAACATTTCCTTTTTGTTCTTTCAACTTTCATGATCTGTGCAGCCTAGCAGCAAGATTTAAGAAAGCATCTTCTCTGCATGGAATCATCAAGCCGCCCACTGGATGGCAAAATCCAAATTCTTCTTCTGATCTATTAAGAAGATCTACAAAAGAAGGATGCTTCAAGTATGATATAGGTACCACAAATCTCTTCCTTTGAATCTCTCCCACATAGACTACAATGTGGCCTTTGGGAACATTGGATTGATTTCTTGCAGATATAGCTTGCATTTTCAGAATCTGCTTGGCATTAAGAAGAATCGATGGCAAACGGATTCCCATATCGGATATTTCCTCGAAACAAGAGAAAGGTACTGACTTTGAATGGTGTTCTGGTTGATTCTGAATTTGATGTAGGAAATAGAGTACTTGTTGGATGAGAATGGCTTTATTTCTTATGTATATTTATAAACTAGGAACTGGAGAGGAGAACAAAAAGAGTATACTTCGAGGGCCTACTTCTCCAAAGGCTCACATGGGTTTGCTCTATCGATTAGAATTTTCTTTCATTTCCTCGTTGGTCCCACTTTTTCCAATAACAAGTGGTCAAAGAAAACTTCACCAAGTTCGTCATTATCTCTTGGAATATAAGTGGCAACATACCATGTGATACTCCCAATCCTCATTAAGTGCTTCCATTAATGGACCTATTGCAGTGGCTGAGAGTACATTGGTGGTGATAGGAGCTGTGAGTCAAATGAAATCTGAGCTACTTCCCTCACCTACAAGCTGGGTTCATTGATGAAGAAATTTCCTCTTGCAAAGTGGTCCAATCACACGGATATGTTGGCTTGTCTTTACACTTTCCTTACAAAGCCATCTGTTTTGATGTGCTATTCCACTGGAACAAGCATGGTGTTGTTTGAAAATTGAAATACAAATGGGCCTATAATTGAGCAATTTGAAACACACATGGGAGCCAAGAGAAAGGATTAGATCAAAATAGAAAATTCTTGTGACGTGACAAAGTCATGTTAAGTGGGTCCTCTAAGTTGTTAAACTACCGATGCTAGTGCGCCCACTTTTAAGCTCATTGGAAATCCTCAGGCCACTTCACTCTTCATAGCTCTATAAATATATAACCTATATTAGTTTGAAGTACACGTTTGTGCTCTGAATATCACGATTCTACTTCCAACCAAGGCTAAACTCAAGAGTTGTTTACAGTTTCTTGACCATTTTCAATAGATTTAACAATGGGGATTCGTTTGCCATCATCCCTGCTGCCTACTGCCAAGCAAATTCTCAAGATGCAATTGGGTTTTGTCAAGAAGCAGTCAGATGTTGTTCCTAGAGGTCATTGTGCTGTATATGTGGGAGATATCCAAAGGAAGCGATTTGTGGTTTCTGTTTCATACTTGAACCATCCTTCATTCCAACAACTACTCAACCGAGTAGAAGAAGAGTTTGGTTACCATCATCCACTCGGAGGTCTACCAATTCCTTGCAAAGAGGGTGCATTCATTGATCTTACTTCTAGACTGCAACACTCTTGAAGGATGAAGATGATGGAATAGGCATCAATCAATTTTTGACCCATTTTTTTTTTCCTGAATTGATTTCTTTCTAACTCCCCTGGTTGTGTACAAATACAACCTTAAGCCTTTTGGAATGCAAATGAGTTTCTTTCTTAGTGACTTTCCTACCTAAACGTAATACAAATAGATTTTTCAGTCTCATTTCATGTTCCTCTTCTTATTCTTTGATACTCTTGTCTGTTCATTGCTGTCTGTCATGCAGAATTGGATGTTTTTTTTTTTTGGCTATTATACATGTTCAAAATGGAACAGAGAGACAACCTTTGCATACAATAGGGTCCAAATTCCATGAACACGACCTCATTCTGTTCATAGAAGAAAATGCAGGTGGCGTTGACAGTAATTAAATCTTGGATTGAATATTGGATAACGGAGCTCTCTTTCATAGCCATTATGAGGCCCTCCATAAATATATACGAGATGTGAGCTCTCTCCCATTGTTTTGACGGTTTGTCTCTACAAAATCCCAAAAATTGGCCAGCCTCCTATTAAACAGATCGACCAGTCTCTGCCATCAATACTACATAGTTAACTGCAGAAGGCAGATAGGTTGGATATTGATCTTCGATTATGAGATCGAACCAAGAGGAAAATTTCATAGAAAAATTTAACTTGTCACGCAAGGATCCAGTATGCTTTGGATAGGTTGAACTTTGAAGTTTGAATCTTCAAGATGCTACCCAGTTTCTTCAGTGATGTATCATGATCTGCAACAGTTTTTCTTAGTTCCATGGATTGCAGGTTAACCATCACAAATAAAGCAGAAAAGAAAAGGCTATATAGAAATTGATGCTAAATTTGTGTTTTCTTTTGATTCACTTCTGTTGGTAAATGCACCATTACAATGCCACTCATTTACAGGCAAGAAGGACATTCCATTCTACAACATTCTAGTATGGGTCAAAATACAATTGAGTCAGAAACAACCAGAAAAGGTTGTAAAAAATTGCAGCTTGAGCATTTCTGTTCATCGTTCAAGATACTTGCAGTCTAGAAGTGAGATGGATAAAGGCGTCTTCTTTGCAAGGAATTGTTAGGCCTCCATGTGGATGATGGAACCCAAACTTCTCCTCTGCGTGGCTGAGCAATTGCTGGAACGATGGATGGTTTAGGTAAAATATTGGAACCACAAACCGCTTCCTTTGGAACTCTCCCACATAAACTGCGACATGACCTTTTGGAACATCCAACTGGTTTTTGGTGAAACCTGACTGCATCTTCAGAATTTGCTTGGCATGAGGAACCAAAGATAGAAACCGAATCCCCATTTTCTTGAGATGAAAAGAGTGTCAAAAAGGTCAGGAGCTAACTATAAGAGGATGTAGTACTTGAAATGAGTTGAATTTTGTGTTTGAAGGCTCATTTTGATGTTTATATATATAGAGTTTGTGAAGGAAGTCCTATCTATGCTGGTGAGTGTGGCCTTTCCAGTGGCTATGTGGGGGTATTGATGTCTGGTGGTTGGGTATATTTGAGTATACTGGTTCACATGGCTTTGCCCAACTCATGAAAGGGCCATCCATTTTCTTCTCCCACTCCATGTTCGCTGTATTTTATACCACAAATTTCAGGTTCATTGGTCAATTGTTTCCATATATCTCTGTCAACTCATAGATACTTCCAGACAAATTCCATTACATTGGTAATAGAAATGCTGATTCTTGAAGCTGATGAGAAAATTTACACGTCTTTGTCATCAAGTGCTTGTTTGTTTTAAGTTTCTTTTCACCATCATGAACTAATTTTCCCTTGGCAAGACTTCGCTCGACAAACATCTATATGGTGTTTTAGCTATGTTCTGTCCATACTTTGATCTCTTACTTAAAAAAATCATCATTTTGGAAGTGTTTGTTTAAATTGTTTTTTTTTTTTTTTGTCTTATCAACTGATATAAAGTAGTAGCACATTTAAGGAATCAAGGGGGTCAATGAGTGTGGAAATACCGAAAATGAGCAAGTGTGTAACAGCTCAAGTCCACTGCTAGTAGATATTATCCACTTTGGCCCGTTACTTATCGTCATCAGCTTCACGATTTCAAAACGCATCTCTCCCTAGTAAGAAATTTTTCGTTCCCCTCTCCAGTCGATGTGGTACTTGCAAGGTGTGAGTCTTAACCAATAGATTATTTTAGAATGATCCAACCAATTGCAAGCATAGGGGTTGAGTTACATGTCAATAGAAATCACAGGTAGAAATACATACGGTTTTTCTTGTCCACCACACTCTGACCTTTTGAAAGAATACAAGGATGCCTTCCATACTCCAAAATCTCCAAGTGCCTTTTTCTTGTCCACCACACTCTGACCTTTTCGAGAGTTAGCTTGGGTTAGATTTTGGAGTATGGAAGGCATCCTTGTATTCTTTCAAAAGGTCAGAATACAAGGATGCCTATCAGTGAGATTTAAGAAAGCATCTTCTCTGCATGGAATCGTCAAGCCACCCATTGGATGGCAAAATCCGAATTCTTCTTCTGATCTATTGAGTAGATCTACAAAAGAAGGATGCTTCAAGTATGATATAGGGACCACAAATCTCTTCCTTTGAATCTCTCCCACGTAGACTGCCGATGTGGCCTTTGGGAACATCAGATTGATTTCTTGCAGATAGAGCTTGCATTTTCAGAATCTGCTTGGCATTAAGAAGAATCGATGGCAAACGGATTCCCATATCGAAAATTTCCTCAAAACAAGAGAGGGGTGACTGACTTTGAATGGTGTTCTGCTTGATTTTGAATTTGATGTAGGAAATAGAGTACTTGTTGGATGAGAATGGCTTTATTTCTTACGTATATTTATAAACTAGGAACTGGAGAGGAGAACAAAATGAGTATACTTTGAGGGCCTACTTCTCCAAAGGCTCACATGGGTTTGCTCTATCTATTAGATTTCATTCATTTCCTCTTGGAATATGAGTAGCAACATACCATGTGATACTCCCAAACCTCATTAAATGCTTCCATTAATGGACCTATTTCAGTGGCTGAGAGTACATTGGTGGTGATAGGAGCTGTGAGTCAAATGAAATCTGAGCTACTTCCCTCACCTACAAGCTTGGTTCATTGATGAAGAAATTTCCTCTTGCAAAGTGGTCCAATCAGACGGATATGTTGCCTTGTCTTTACACTTTCCTTACAAAGCCATCTGTTTGATGTGCTATTCCACTGGAACAAGCATGGTGTTGTTTGAAAATTGAATTACAAATGGGCCTTTACTTGAGCAATTCATGGCATACATTTCAAACACACATGGGAGCCAAGAGAAAGGATGAGATTAAACTAGAAAATTCTTGTGAGCCGACGAAGTTATGTTAAGTGGGTCCTCTAAGTTGTAAAGCTACCGATGCTAGTGAGCCACTTTTAAGCTCACTGGAAATACTTAGGCCACTTCTCTCTTCATAACTCTAAAAATATAGATCCAATATTAGTTTGAAGTACAAGTTTGAGCTCTGAGTATCACGATTCTACTGGAAATTCTAAACTTAAGAGTTGTTTACAGTCTCTTGATCATTTCCAATAGATTTAACAATGGGAATTCGTTTGCCAACATCCCTGCTGTTCGGTTTTGTCAAGAAGCAGTCTGATGTTGTTCCTAGAGGTCATGTTGCTGTATATGTGGGAGATACCCAAAAGAAGCGATTTGTGTGGTTCTTGTTTCGTACTTGAACCATCCTTCATTCCAACAACTACTCAACCGAGTAGAAGAAGAGTTTGGTTACCATCATCCACATGGAGGTCTAACAATTCCTTGCAAAGAGGGCGCATTCATTGATCTTACTTCTAGACTGCAACACTCTTGAAGGATGAAGATGCTGGAATAGGCATCAATCAATTTTTGACTCATTTTTTTCCCGAATTGATTTCTTTCTAACTTGTGCACGAATACAATCTTAAGCCTTTTGGAATGTAAATGAGTTTCTTTGTTAGTGAATTTCCTACAAAAACGTAATACAAATAGATTTTCAGTCTCATTTCATGTTCCTCTTCTTATTCTTTGATACTCTTGTCTGTTCATTGCTGTCTGTGATGCCGAAGTGGATGTTTTTTTTGGCTATTATACATGTTCAAAATGGAACAGAAAGACAACCTTTGCATACAATAGGGTCCAAATTCCATTAACACGACCTCATTCTGTTCATAGAAGAAAATGCAGGTGACGTTGACAGTAAGTAAATCTTGGATTCAATATTGTATAATGGAGCTCTCTTTCATAGCCATTATGAAACCCTCCATAAATATATGCGAGCTATGAGCTCTCTCCCATCGTTTTGACGGTTCGTCTCTACAAAATCCCAAAACCCGACCAGTTTCCTATTAAACAGATCGATCAGTCTCTGCCATCAATACTTCATAGTTAACTGCAGAAGGAAGATAGGTTGGATATTGATCTTCGTTTATTAGATCAAAACAAGAGTAAAATTTCATAGAAAAATTTAACTTGTCACAAAAGGATCCAGTATGCTTTGGATAGGTTGAACTTTGAAGTTTGAATCTTCAAGATGCTACCTAGTTTCTTCAGTGATGTATCATGATCTGGCAACAGTTTTTCTTAGTTCCATGGATTGCAGGTTAACCATCACAAATAAAGCAGAAAAGAAAAGGCTATATAGAAATTGACGCTAAATTTGTGTTTTCTTTTGATTCACTTCGTTTGGTAAATGCACCATTACAATGCCATTCATTTACAGGCAAGAAAGGCATTCCACTCTACAACATTCTAGTATGGGTCAAAATACAATTGAGTCAGAAACAACCAGAAAAGGTTGTAAAAAATTGCAGCTTGAGCATTGCTGTTCATCCTTCAAGATACTTGCAGTCTAGAAGTGAGATCGATGAAGGCATCTTCTTTGCAAGGAATTGTTAGGCCGCCTTGAGGATGATGGAAGCCAAACTTCTCCTCTGCGTGGCTGAGCAGTTGCTGGAACGATGGATGGTTTAGGTAAGATATTGGAACCACGAACCGCTTCCTTTGGATCTCTCCCACGTAAACTGCCACATGGCCTTTTGGAACGTCCAACTGGTTTTTGGTGAAACCTGACTGCATCTTCAGAATTTGCTTGGCATGAGGAACCAAAGATAGAAACCGAATCCCCATTTTCTTGAGATGAAAGAGTGTCAAAAAGGTCAGGAGCTAACTATAAGAGGATGTAGTACTTGAAATGAGTTGAATTTGGTGTTTGAAGGCTCATTTTGATGTTTATATTTATAGAGTTTGTGAAGGAAGTGCTATCTATGCTGGTGAGTGTGGCCTTTCCCGTGGGTATGTGGGGTATTGATGTCTGGTGGTTGGGTATATTTGAGCATACCGGTTCACATGGCTTTGCCCAACTCATGAAAGGGCCATCCATTTTCTTCTGCCACTCCATATTCTCTGTATTTTATACCACAAATTTCAGGTTCATTGGTCAATTGTTTCCATATATCTCCGTCAACTCATAGATACCTCCACTCCATATTCTCTGTTTTGGCATCGACAAACCTCTATATGGTGTTTTAGCTATGTTTTGAAGCTTTCTTGACCTCTTATTTTGGATTATAATTGCACCTCATTGAAACGAGTGGGACTGTCACCAGTAGTTAGGGAACATAAGGAAGTGCATGTATTCAAACAAAATAAGCAACCCATGTGAGCATTTATGTAGGCCTTCTTAGACACCTACTTGATACTGTTTTCTTCTCATCACTTCTGTATTCCTGAACCCATAAATACAGATCAAAGGAACTCAATCTTCAACATACATTTCAAACATATCCTCATTCAAAGTAATACACTTCCCAACTTCTAAACTAGACATGGGAATCAGACTTCCTTCACGTCTCCTCAATGCCAGGCAAATTGTCAAAATGCAGACCGTTTCGCCTAGAAATCAATGTGGCGTTCCCAAAGGTCATATTGCAGTCTATGTGGGGGATATCGAAAGGAAGCGGTTTGTGGTTCCAATATCATACTTGAATCATCCGTCTTTCTCAGCTTTGCTCGAGACTGCAGAAGAAGAATTTGGATTTAAACATCCAACGGGAGGATTGACAATTCCTTGCAGAGAAGATGTGTTCATCAACCTCACATCCAGGCTGCAAACGTCCTGAAAGAGGGAAGAAAAACAAATTTCCACACAATTTTGTCAGATTCTCTCCATTTTTTCCCCATAGTTAAGTGTAGAAATCAATGTATAGTTAGTTTTAACGTGTTCGATCGGGTAGCTGAAAGGTTATAACACATTGCCTATCTACCTGAACATCATTTACACAACTTACAATTACAGTCTGTAAACGTGGAAATACAAATACTTAGCCACATTTCTTACTAAAAAAGGATTGCCCTCCTTCATGAACTTTAATTCATCTGAATTCTTCATGTTTTTCCTTTTCATGTTCTTGAAACATTATTTGGATATATCTGGGCGCAAAAACTGTTCCCTGATGGTTGCTCATAAGAGAGCGAGTTCAAGACGAAAGAAAGCTAGAGCATCTTCCTTTTCGTCTTGCCTCGAGGGCTTATAGGTCTTTCTTCTTTCCCGAACGATAAAGCTGTTTTCTCTTACTGGACCTTCTCTTATAAGATGAATATTTTTCACCATATTTGGTGTAAATAGTTGGCAAATAGGATGGATATCAGTTTTTTTGGATTTGTTTATGTTTGAAGCTTTTGTATGCTATTATTAACAAAGCTTGGATTATCCATCTCAGGTAGAGCACCAGTGAATAAGCTATATAGAAACTGAAGATGAATTGGTCTATTTTTCATTGATCCTGTTGGTAAAAGAACCTTTACAATGCAACTCATTTACAGGGCGGAAGGTATTCTTCTCGTCGAAAATAAAACAAAAAACTCTTCATCGTTCAAGATACTTGCAATCTAGAAGTGAGATCAATGAAGGCATCCTCTTTGCAAGGAATCGTAAGAGCTCCCCGTGGATGATGGAAGCCGAACTCTTCCTCTACATGGCTGAGTAGTTGTCGGAATTATGGATGGTTAAGGTAAGATATCGGAACTACGAACCGCTTCCTTTGGATCTCTCCTACGTAAACAGCCACATGACCTTTTGGCACATCCAAATGGTTTTTGGTAAATCCTAACTGCATCTTCAAGATTTGCTTGGCATGAGAATCAGACTACCTTCACTTCTCCTCAATGCCAAGCAAATTGTCAAAATGCAGACCGTTCCATCTAGAAATCAATGTAGCGTTCCCAAAGGCTATATTGCAGTCTATGTGGGAGATACTGAAAGGAGACGGTTCATGGTTCCAATATCAAGCTTTGCTCAAGAGTGCAGAAGAAGAATTTGGATTTAAACATCCAACTGGAGGATTGACAATTCCTTGTAGAGAAGATGTCTTCATCAATCTCACATCCAAGCTGCAAACTTCCTGAAGAGAGAAAAAAGACAACCCTCCACACAATTTTTTTCCCATTAGTCAGGGATATACTTGCTTGGTATCCGGACTGACTCGGAGAGGAATTTCTTCAGTGGATGTCGAGTCAGTTCGAAAGTCAGTCCCCACAGGAACATAAACAAAGTCAGCAGGGCAAGTAGTAAATCCAGGATCAGTACCCTTCTCAGTCCTATACCCAGTAGGAGCAGCAGAAACGAAGGTTGAAACATCACTAGAGACATAGGTGGGAACATATGATCCACTAGTAGCATCTAAGTAAGCTGCATACCTTCCTGCACCTGCTTCAGTCGTTTTTGTTGATGGAACAGTTAATTAAGCACTTGAATTTGACCGATAGTGATGCTGGTACTACGCCTTTGCTTGCCTTTCTGTTGATGCCTATAGCTTTCTCATCCTACGTTACATGAATATATCTGGATAAGTGAATGATGAACAGTTTGAATGAAATTTAATCTTTTTTAATCTTTTCTGAATTCCCCTTATGTGAAAACTCAAAGTTTCTTAATTGAAACCAAAAGCCTCTACCAAAGGCATACATTTGATGTTCATAAATTTACTGTTTCAATGAAACTAAATCATGACTATTCTATGCTTTCTGTTTAGTCAGATATCAGTTGCAAGAAAATAATTGATGTCCATTTGTATAGTCTTGAAAGAATATGATGAAATGACGAAACAAACCCTGAAATTGAACGAAACTGAAAGCATGACTGAGTATATGTGATTTTAGATTACTATGCTATGTCCCTATTGCATGATATGTTTATGAGATTATACAGAGATGATGATTTAGGGTTCATCGACTAACCCCTAATCGTGAGCCAGACTCGATCATTGGGTCTTTGTATAACATGTTTTTAGAACTGACTACAATGACTTGTACTTTGTGGAGACTATTAAGGGCTTGCTAGTTAATTCCTAAGAGTGAACTTATCTGAGGGTCTGCAGTAGTGTCTTTACGTTTATGAGTTGGTAGAACTAATGAGTGTCTTGTGGGTGCAATTAGGTGTCTCCAACCACTTCCTAACACTTTCACATTATGGGGCTTACTAGGAAGATGTCAACTAAACCCTCCTAGAGAATTTGAGAACAGTGTCCATAACGGTATGAGGAGAACTAGGGGTTGGAACCAACGTCAGGGTCGCGCCTCGAGTACCATAGGCTGATGTGGACAATGTTGATGAAAATGACTAGTAGATAGCTAATCAAGATACCTTAAAACCCTAAAAACCGATGGCCCAAATAGGGCCAAGGAAAAAGAACTTGATAGCTTTTGTCATTTTACCCTAAGTTGAGGTTAGGTGAACCAAGTTAACCGAGGAGATAGCCTAGGAAAGTCAATGACTTAGGAACGAGATTTCTAAGTACGACTAAGATACCGAATGAACGAACAAACTAATGATATAAGACTTAAGAACGAACTAAGAAGCTATAAACAAACTACTTCCTGAGTATTCTTATACTCATTCATGCTATTTTAATCTTCTCAAGTGAGTGCTAGATGGAGCAGTTGAGGCGAGGGTGTACGCTTTAGGGGTTCAAAATAGATCAATGTCTTGTACTTCTCAAATCCTTATGTTACATCTGTCATTTCGATATTGTGCCCAATTGTATTACGAATGCTCTGACGTCCTGATGTTTTAAATGAATGTACTGTTTGATTTGATATTCATTAAATGCACGCACGTTTTAAAAGTTTTAGTTTATCTTATACTTTCAAATACTCAATATCGGTTAGTGACGGCCCGTGGCTCGAGTCTCTCAAGTAAGCCACAAAACATATAATAAAAGAAATAGTTCCATTTCATGTGATCATATATTGATTACAGTTTCAGAGTGCCATTCATTGACATTCTGAAAAGAATTGTTCTTGAATTTCCTACAACATTCTAGTATAAGTTCATAAATGAATCAAGAAACAAGAAAAAAAAAATTCAAAACTTGGTGAATTTTCCTTCTCCTCTTAAAGAGATTTGCAATCTCGAAGTGAGATCGAGAAAGGCATCTTCGTTGCAAGGAATTGTTAGACCACCGTGAGGATGATGAAATCCGAACTCTTCCTCGGCATGTTTGAGCAGCTGCTGGAATGAAGGATGATTCAAGTATGATATTGGAACTACGAACCGTTTCCTTTGTATCGCTCCCACGTAAACTGCTATGTGACCTTTTGGAACATATAGCGGATTTCTGGGGAAGTTTGAACGAACTTGTAGAAATTTCTTGACTTGAAGAATCCAGAATGGCAAATAAATCCCCATTATTAAGCTTGCCTGTTAAAGGTTTGAATTTGATTGGCGTAGAACCAACTTGAAGAGAATGAAAATGAATGTGTTTGAGTTTAATTTGGAGTTGAAACTGACTTGATATCCACATATATATAGTCTTGAAAGAAAATAGTTTTGTAGGTGGTTGGTGCTTTTCCATTGGGCTATTTAAGGTTAGTGTCGAGGTATCTAACCGTTCAAGTCCGCCGCTAACAGACATTATCAACTTTGACTCGTTACGTGTTGCTATCAGCCTTACGGTTTTAAAATGCATCTGTTAGGGAGAGGTTTTTACACCCTTATAAAGAATGTTTCGTTCCCTCTCCAACCGATGTGGGATCTCACAGTCCACCCCCTTGAGGGCCTAGCGTCCTTTCTGGTACACTACCCAAGCCTACCACTAACAGACATTATCCGCTTTGGCCCCTCACGATTTTAAAACCATCTGTTGGGAGAGGTCTTCACACCCTTATAAGGAATACTTCGTTCCCCTCTCCACCCGATGTGGTATCTCACAATCCACTCTCTTTGGGGGGCCTAGCGTCCTCGCCAACATGATACCATTTGCAATAGTCCAAACTCACTGTTGGTGTTATCCGTTTTGACCTGTTACATATCACACTTAACCTCACAATTTTAAAACATGTCTGTTAAAAGAGGTTTTCACACCTTCATAAGGAATGTTTTGTTCCTCTTTTTGACTCTACTTAGGATTGCCCGACTCACTCGACTCAGACATGATCTTTCTCCTATCTTTCTTATTTGTATCTGCCGTCATCCCAGCTTTTTGATTCAGGTAAACAGCACTGAATTCCTGAAGGAAGAACGCACTAGATGGGAAAAGAAAGAACATGATATGAGTGAGATTCGCTTTCACTGCTACAGAAAATGTTGCATCATTGGATAGTCCTGGTTGGATAGGTAGGAGAGGCACCAAATGCATTGAATTGCCGTACAGGTCATTTTAAGGATAAAATCGTGTTCTTTCTTTGTGAAATGTAGTTGCTGAATCCAACTTTCAACAACTTCTGTAATTGGAACCAGCTGTTTACCAACATGAACAAACTCATGATACTAAAACCGTCCTTTTCTATGAACAGTGCCCAAACATTATCCCGTTTGATCTTGCTGACATGGTTGCAATGGTCGCCAATCATAGCTACGATTGATATCACTCAAATGAAATTGATATCCATCTGTGATATGTTAATGATATTGATATCCATCTGTGATATGATTAATGATATCATATCAGTATATAGAAGATATATTATTGATATACTTCATATACTGTGTATAGCTTAACTGATGAAAGGAAATATATAATTTAAGAAATGGAGTATTATAGTTTCGTTCGTATTACTTTTGAAAGTTCATGCATTTTTTGAAACGTGATAGATATTAAAGATTTGTTCTTGTGGTATTGAGATTCGTTCGTATTACTTTTGAAAGTTTATGGTTATTAGTTGAACACGATTCTTCACAATGGTATGATATTTTTCACTTTGAGCATAAGCTCTCGTACTAATGGAGATAGTATTATTTGATTATAGACCCATGATATTCTCTAAATTAGCGGATGTGAGACTTTCATCCAACCATGGATTTTTTAAAACATGGTATTAAAGATTCGTTCGAATTATTTGGAAAGTTTATGGCTTTTTAAAAAATAATTTTTAATTTTTAAAGAAGTTTAGAACTTCGAAGTTCAAGCACTTGACAACGAACCCAAGGCCTGAAGAGACCATGTTCTGGAATCTGCAGCTTGTCCGATTAATACGACGGAAAGGGGTTTCCATGAGGTTATAGTAATCTGCAATCTCAACTTCTTTCGGCGATCTGGAAGAAGTAATATTCCAATCAGAAACACAAACAGTCCGAAAATTCTGACGAAGATCGATTTGGGAGAGAGGAGATGCTGAAAAGATGGGGAAATCTGTTCTTGAAGGCAGAGAATCCAATATAATGATCATGCCAAAGAGGAGATTCTTCACCATTCTCCAAAAAAAGGGAACCATAAATGCAAGTTCGAGAAATACTAATCCATGGACTGCGGAATCTAGAATTCGATCTCCCACGAGTATGCCGATCAAAAGCATCGGACCAGTGAGTACTAGAAATCACCTTCTTCCTAAGAGAATGCGGCTCATTAAAGTACCGCCAACCCCAGTTACCAATCAAAGCTATCTCCGGCGACTGTAGAAGGCTAGAAACGATGAGGAAAGGAGGCGGAGAGAGGAGAGAGCATTTCCTTGGCAGGTTTGAAACCTTTCGATCTTCAAATCCACCTTTCTTCTCCAAACTTTAGGATTAATTAGAACTTGGTCGAAAAAATCCTATACAGTTCGTACATCTAAATATAGGGGAAAGAAGCTAATTGTACTTTCATTGCTTTGCTTCTCTTTTTAATGAAGGCATCCGGTTACCTGCCAATTTCTTCTTTGGATCTATTTGATGTTAATATTCAGTTGCTTTGTTGATTTGTGATTATCTAGCAATAAATTTTCCATATTCCCTAGAGCCTGGAATAACTATCACAAATATGGAATCAAAGAAGTAGCTAAGTAGAAATTGATGCTGAATGCGTCTGTTCTTTAGATTCAGTGATGTTAGTAAATACACCTTTATAATGCCACTCATTTTCAGGCAGGAAGGTGTTACATTCTACAAAATTCTTGTATGAGTCAAAAGTCTAATGAATCAGGGAAAAAAACCCAGAAAAATTGTTAGAACTGGAAGGTTTTTCTTCAATCTTTGTACTTCAAGATTTGTACTTCAAGATTTGTACTTCAAGAGACTTGCAATCTTGAAGTAAGATTAATAAAGGCATCCTCTTTGCAAGGAATAGTTAGAGCGCCCTGCGGATGATGGAAGCCAAACTCTTCCTCTGCACGGCTGAGCAGTTGCTGGAATGATGGGTGGTTCAAGTATGATATTGGAACCACGAATCTCTTCCTTTGGATCTCTCCCACATACACGGCTACATGACCTTTTGGAACATCCAACTGACTTTTAGTGATACCTGACTGCATCTTTAGGATTTGCTTGGCATGAGGAACCAAGGATAGCAATCGAATCCCCATTTGTTTGAGATGAAAGAACGTATGAAACACCTGAAGTTTTGATCTGATTAGCACGTAACCAACTAGAGGAGGAAGTAATGCTTGAATATGCTTGAGTTGAATTTGGTGTTTCAGGGTTCATATGATACTTGGTTTTATAGAGTTTTTGAAGAACGAGTTTTGCTGGTGAATGGTACTGTTTCCTATGGCTAAGTGGGGTATTGATGTCTGGTGGTTGCGTATTTGAATTGACTCTTTCACATGGTTTTGTTCAACTCAGAAAAGACACTAATTTAATTCTCTCATCCTTCATATATCTGTAGTTTACACCACAAATTCTAGTTTCATTGGTTAGGTTGCATTGATCACAAATTCACAAGCCATTGTCCGAGCCTTTTCACACAATTTTACTTATAAACAGAGTAAATTGCACTCAAAATGGGGGAACAGAAGATCCATGTGATTTGTCCTAATGCCTACCAATTGGAATAGGATCTTTACTAAGTTTTCCTTTGCCAAATGGACAATGGAGTAGTTCATTGTATCTGCTTCCAGTAGATGGCACACTTTTGGCTTTGAGTAATGCAGTGCTGGAAAAAACTATGACCTTCACGACACCTCTTGTGATGACAGGCACTTTAGGACCTAAATTGACAACCTTAGCAGATCACGTCAAAAATCCATAGTAATACGGTAACACGGTAACAATCATGTCAAAAATCCATTGGTAAGTGTTGCAAGTTTAAATTAGCTTGTTGTGTTTATTTTTATTTTCAGAGAATAACATACCCTTTCTGTAAGGGAGAAAGGCTAACTAAATCTTAATCATTATATAATCTAAATACCCTAGGTAACAGTGATCTAAATAAATTCCTATATACTAGTTAATAAAATCTAAATAGTGATTCTTAGTAGATACTAGGTAACTAAACCTATAATCTAATAATGATTACAGCATAATACTAGGTAACTAAATATAAATAATAATCGAGGTCAATTCTTACCTTATTTAATGGGATTACGTAATATTAGCAGCTTCTCTTTTTCCTGCCTAAAATTTCAACTGGATGGTCCTAATGAAGTTAATTCTTGTCATTCCTGCAGTGTTAATTACTTAAATATGGGTTTGGTATCCATGAGGATTTTCAAAATTGGAAAATTGTGTTCATGTGACATCTGATATGGAAGATCACAACTCCAATTTATAATGAATTTATCAACTCTATGCAATACAAAACCAAACAAGTACCTTTTCCCTTCATTTTTCTCTTTTCAAAACCTCCTAATGCCTCTACTAGAGCAAGGGGGCTGCCCCAATCACAGTATGAAGAAAGACTTATTGTTGTGGATATATGCCATACATGGCAGATATGGAGGTAAAACAAAGTCTTACTTGTTCATAGATCGTGTAAGTTTAAGTTTATTATAAATCTAGGTAGCTGATGGAAGGAAAGAGCAATTTCTTTTAAAGAAGAAGCGACATAGAAGTTGATGCTGGTTGTTTCTGTATAAATTTCTTGTATAATTAAGTTTTGTTAGTAAATTTTCCTTTACAATGGCACTCATCTACAAGTAGGAGGGCGCTCTATTCTAATACATTCTCTTGCTTGCTGGTCAATAAGCAAGGGAATGGAGAAAAAATAGTAAAAAAATGGCTGACTGCTCTTGACTTCTCATTCTTCAAAATGCTTGCAATCTAGAAGTGAGTTCGATGAAGGCATCTTCTTTGCAAGGAATTGTCAGGCGCCCTTGTGGATGATGGAAGCCAAATTCCTCCTCTGCGTGCCTGAGTAGTTGCTGGAACAATGGTTGGTTTAAGTAAAATATCGGAACCACAAACCGCTTCCTTTGAATCTCTCCCACATAAACTGCCACATGGCCTTTTGGAACATCCAGCTGGTTTTTGGTAAAACCTGGCTGCATCTTCAAGATTTGCTTGGCATGAGGAACCAAAGATAGTAATCGAATCCCCATTTGCTTGAGATGAAAGATTGAGAAAGATCTGAAGTTTTAATCCGAATAGTATAAAACCAACTAGAAGAGGAAGTCACGGTTGAATTTGGTGTTTGAGCCTCGTATTATGTTTATATTTATAGAGTTATGAAGAAAGAGCTATGCAGGTCAGTGGTGCTTATCCAGTTTCTAAGTGGGGTATTGGAGTCTGGTGGTTGGTGGGTATTTGAGTAGACCCTTCCACATGGCTTTGCCTAACAAGTAAAAGCTGATCCTATTATCTCTTCCTTTCCCTCCATAAATATTCTGTGATTTACTTTTGTTTGAATAAAAAAGAATTGTTTCGTTGGCCAGCCAAATTGCTCCATTCATCACATGCCATTGGCCAAGCACGTAGCTGCTGCATTAAATTAAATGATTCTAGATAGAGTGAATGGCATTGAAAATGGAAGAATATAATACCCTTGTGACTGGATTGCCTTTTTTATGGAAGTTCCCATTGCTGTGTCATTGAAGTTGATGTATAGGTTGAGAAAGAACCAAAAAATGGCATATGCATCAAAGTATATATTGAACTACATCTTAGTTCTCATCATCAGATTTCTCAGTCCTTGTCTAGTAAATTTAGTATTCAACATCTGTGAATCATGTGAACTGGAATGAGATACTAATTAACGCCTTATTTGTCCATATATAATCAGTTACATTGCATCCACTTCAGGCAGCTCATGACTATGATATCACCACTTCTTTTGACAGACACTGCAATACTTCCTGCGCACAGTCGATCACTGAGAACCGCAGCATTAAAAATCAATATCAATGTTTCTACATGTAAGTATGTTACATCTGCACAATGTTGTCTTAAAAAATCTGAAGGGTCATACTAGAGTTAGTGTTGTAATTTGAAGATCTGCTTCTTTAACATGTGTCTGGTCCTGGACATACTCTTTGAGCATCAAAAAGTGACTATCATATAAGTAATACATCGGAGGAACCCCAATTCATAAACCACCTCATCAATTTCTCTGCATAACATTAAGACATTTGGTTGACTTGGGAAGCATCTACTTTTACATTGTTAATTGGTTTTGTTTTGTTCTATATACTAGACTAACTCTTAATGTAGTGATTAGTTTCTTCCTTTTACTTTTAATCCGGACATTAAGGAAAGACTTCCATATTATTGACACATAGAAAATGTGCATCGATAAATAAATTTAATCGCTTACGAATCAAAAGTTTCAGTTGACAAAGATTCTTGCTTGCTTATATAGGAAACTGAAAGTTTTGTACCTCTAATGGTCACTTCCATTGCAACTGATATTTGTCATTGATGTTCAAGTGGCTTCATTCCACCTTTTCTTATCTAATCATCTACATATAAAGACTCCCTTTACATTGACATTCAACTCTACCTTCTATAGACAGAAAACAAGAAGAAAAGTTGTCAAAACTGCAAGCTGGATTGCTCTTTGTTTTTTTTTTTTCAATCTTTTATGAAGTATACAGTCTGGAGGTGACATCTATGAAGGCTTCTTCATTGCAGGGAATGGTCAAACCTCCTGTTGGATGGTTGAATCCAAACTCTTCTTCAGCCCTACTGAGCAAATTTACAAATGAAGGATGGTTCAAGTAAGATATTGGAACCAAAAACCGCTTCCTCTGAATTTCTCCCACGTATACTGCAATGTGACCTTTGGGTACGTTGGATTGACCTCGTACAGATACTGACTGTGTCTTCAGAATTTGTTTGGCACTAAAGAGAAGAGAAGGTAGACGAATTCCCATGTCTAAAATTGATTGAAATGAAAGAACAGTCAAGTACTGACTTCGAATGGTTGAGCTCTTGCGATGAATCTGGAAATCGTAGATTGTACTGCTTAAATGAGAATATGTGAGAAGATTTGAGTTGGATATCTGCTGTTTATTTGGTATGTATATATAGGAGATAAGAACGAAAGTATTGAAGATATCCACATGGGGTGCTCCAGTAGTTGAAGTACAGTTGTTATCAAATTTTATCCAAATTCTGGTACTGTGGATTTCTCTGTCCCAATAAATGAAGTCATATTCAAACATACATATCTGGCTGAAAACTATTAACAGGTATTGAGAAAATGACTAGAAGCGATTCGAAAATTTGGACTGGTCCAAAAATATGTGGTATATATGATGGTAAATGTTGCGACATTATCAGCATAAATGGACCTAAATGTCTGGAGGATGTTTATAATCTTAGAGGCTTGTCATTAAGGTGGTTCTAATATATGTTTGCTGCCTTGCAATACTAAGTGGACGAGGTGCTTCTCATCTCAACATACAAAAATCCATCTCCCAACAAACTGCTGGGAGATGATGTTGAACTTTTCTGCATATTTTTTTTTTTTGTTGGATTTCCATTTATATCTTTTGTTTTATTGATTGTGTATTGTGCATATATTCCTTATTTATATTTGTAATATTTCCTTTCTTATTGATTGATGGGACAATGATAACCATATTATTTTGAAGGAAGGTACCGATCCCATTAACGTGCACCCCTACCAGTATCTGCATACTCAAAAAGGGGAAACTGAATGCATGATAGCTGACATGCTAGATGCGGGTATTGTTCAAATAAATGTAAGTTCTTTCTCCAGTCCATTGATCTTAGTGAAAAAAGGGGAGCTGAAGGGTTTCTGTGAGTTCGTAGTTATGTCTTTTGGTTTAACCAATGCACTGAGATTAGAAATAATTTGTTTAAGAACATCATTTTAGAATGAGATTACCGGCACTCTTGAATTGGCGGGGTGTTTGGCTGTTTTTGTATTCGTTTGGTAATCAGTATGAAATCAGTTTCCTTAAGGAACTGTAGATCAAAAGTTTCAGTTGATGAAATTGCAAAATGAAAATCTTAGTTTCACTGCAATTGATATTTTTCATTGATATTCAAGTGGTTCTGTAATTCTCCACCTTTTCAAATAAAATTCACTTTATAGTAACATTTGACTCTTATCTCCCGCAGAAAAAGAAGATTTGAAAAAAGTTGTCAAAATTTCAAGCGAGATTGCTCTTTGTTCTCAAGCTTTCATGAAGTACATTAAGCATTGATTATTGAAACTCCTCAGTCCTTGCTTAGTACATTAAGCATTGATTAACTGTGAAGCCTACCAATTTGAACGAGCTTTTAGTTGATGTTTTTCTGTAGCATATGGATTGTGTCACAATTGCACCCCTCCGGGATGTTTATAAGCAATTGTACGGCACTTATTCTGTGCACCAAGTGAGTCAGGCAACTCAAAATTGTGTCGCCTACAGCCTGATGACGTATGCTCAAGCTTCTGGGCTCGTTTGAGAATAAAGTTTTAGAAAATGGGTAGAGAGATTTTTGAAAGAGGGTTTGAAAGCAAGATTAAAAGAAAGGTTGAAAAGCAACACACCGGCTTAAATAATATATAACTCTGAGTAGGAAAAATTGACAACTAGTCGCATTCCTCTATAATAGATTTTGAGGCATTTCAAGTCTACAGTATAATTTTATCGAAACTTCATATACTTAGGAAATACAAAAAAATGAACTATACATAATGAAAGCGATAAAAGAAAACAGTAAAGTGATATATGTGGCCATGGACAATACGTCTTGGACAAACATGACTGTGACACATTACATCTATTTCTTGGGACATGGATCATTAGCAATGGGAAAGAAGTTACATGTAACTTTTCTTGACCTTCTTCAAACTGATTAACTGACCATTCCATTTTCTATGTTTTCAGGCACATGGACCTACTTGCATTTCAACTTGGATTTGACTCGAGACTCGCTTCATAGAGCACGATATCCTCTTCAGCTTGGCCACTTCCTGGCCCCAGCCTCGGATCCACTTAGCTCCATATTGCAGGACTTTCGTCAAAGCAGTCGCTCACCGAGCACCTCGCCAACAAAAATTAAGTTCATTTTTCCATATGGAAGTATGTTAAGATTTGCAGTCACAGCTCCAAATTCATTGGCTCAGGTCACTGCTTTCTTTTTCTTGTCCTTGAAGGTTTTGAGGATTCATTATCTGAGATAAAAATTTTACTACCAATACTGTAAGATCCCACGTCGGGTGGAGAGGAAAACGAAACATTTCTTATAAGGATGTGGAAATCTCTTCCTAGCAGACGTGTTTCAAAACCTTGAGAGGAAGCCCGGAAGGAAAAGTCTGAAAGGGAAAGCCCAAAGAGGACAATATCTGCTAGCAGTGGGCTTGGGCTGTTACAAATGATATTAGAGCCCGACACCGAACAGTGTGTCAGCGATGACGCTGGAGGCCTTCAAGGAGGGTGGATTGTGAGATCCCACGTCGGTTGGAGAGAGGAATGAAGCATTCCTTATAAGGGTGTGGAAACTTCTTCCTAGCAGACGCGTTTTAAAATCTTGAGGGAAAGCCCGAGAGGACCATCTTCGCACTTAATTGCAAACAAGAATAAGTTGATAATTAGTGGTGAATAAGGCCTTGTTTGCAAAAAAAAAAAATCAAAGTTTTATTTCAACTGATATTTGTCAGGCTGTTCAAGTGGCTTTGTAACTCTCCACTTTTTCTAATCTAACCATTTACATACAAAATTTTCCTTATACACTAAGATGAAGAGGAAAAATTTGTCAAAACTGTGAGGAGAATTGCTCCTTGTTCACAAATCATTCATGAAGTGTGCAGTCTAGAAGTAACATCAATGAAGGCTTCTTCTTTGCAGGGAATCGTCAAACCTCCAGTTGGTTGGCTGAATCCAAACTCTTCTTCAGCCCTATCGAGCAAGTCCACGAACGAAGGATGACTCAAGTACGATATCGGAACAAAAAACCGCTTCCTCTCGGTTTCTCCTACGTAAACCGGAATGTGGCCTTTGGGAACATTTGACTGACATACTACAGAAACAGACTGCATCTTGAGAATTTGCTTAGCAGCACCAAGGAGTATCGAAAGCAAACGAATTCCCATCGTAAATTTGATTGAAGTGAGACGACAGCAACGAAGACGAAGAACGTCAAACGGGTATTGAATATGGATGTAGAAGTAGCTATAGCTAGTAAACTTCAATGCTTGGATGAGAAAATGTGAGAGATTTAAGTTGTAGATCAGCTGTTTGTTTGGTATCTATATATAGGCAACCAAGAAAGCTGGCTTCATCAATGGCTCACATGGGTTGCTCATTTGAACCAATTTATGGTAAGCTGGCCCCATCAGCCACAACATATGAAGGGTCGCAGATACTTGGAGGTACTTCCAAATAGCATTACAACCATGCCAAGGAAACTAGATGTTGCCCCAATAAAGGCCTGGCGTCGCCCAACACTTGGCACAAATTTGGGGGCTGATATCTCCACATCCACAAAATTCTTGTTTGTGGCCGAGGGGGAAAGTGCGTTGGAACAAAATTAGCTATGTAAAAAGTTGGTACACACTTGGAGCGTTTATGTTTGGAATGTGCGGCGTAGACACTGCAAATAATTTACTAATATAAGGTAGGATCATCTTGTGGATGCCTCGTTACATAATTGAAGGGACACATTTTGAGCGAGCGGGTTTTCTCTGGAGCGGTTGACTAGCAAGTCCACTATCTCCACGACTTTTTCCTTTATCGTGAGTTGGATTGAATCGAGACATTTTTTAGACTTAATTTAATTATTTGATTCGTAAATTTTTTATCCTAAATTATTCGATAGTGAATTCAATTTTACCCAAATATAAAAATTTTAGTCGAGTTGGTTTGGACTATTGGACCATTAATTCAAATTTTTATTTTTAAACCTTTATTATTTATTTTTAAACATTTGCAAGGTATATATGGAAAATAAATAATAAAAAAAATTATGAAATTAAATAAAAATAATATATATATATATATAAAAGCAAAAATGTATTTTTTTAAATTAACACCCAATTTAATTTTAGTGGAACTTATAAATTAATCTCATCCATAAATTTTTCATTTATTTCGGTCCTCTTTTTATTATTATTATTGTTTAAAAAGAAAATAAAGTTATTTATTTTGTTTTTGAATCTTAGATTTTGCATTAAATTTTAATTAATATTAATTAGTTTTGATTATGTTACTGGTTTTTTTTCTCTCTCCTTAAATCTTAAATTTTATATAAATTTTAAATTAACATTTAGATTTTATAATTTTGTAAGTTGTTGTATTTCAAATATTTTTCCCATTACTTGTTTTGATTTTTTTTTTTATAAAATATTTGTTAAAAATACTCCAAAATTACAGGATTTTTTGGGTAGGTATTTTCGTTGGCTTATTTAAAATAACCAATAATTTTTTTTAAAAAAATAAAAAGTCCTAAAAACCCGAACCAAAATCGATCGACTCAAACCGGTTTATATAGGAAGTTAACTCGGCCGTCGGTTTGCTGACCGAATATTATGGTTCGTTTCTCGACCGAACCAAACCGAACACGGCTAGGTCTCCAACCCAGAAGTAGGGTTTTTCCATCGGCGCATTTTATCCGCACTTCTTCTTCATAAAACCCCCACTTCTTCTTGACCTAATTCGCTGCGCCGTTGATCTCCGGTTCGATCAGTTTCTACGCTGTTCTCAAGTCGTCTTCTATCCTTATCGTTCCTCTCTTCTTCTTCTTCGTAAATGCCTCTGTTCATATTGTTTGCCTCATTTTTCTGATCATTGTTTTGCGTTTGTGTGCAACAGGAAGGAGTAAAGAACTTCAAATCAAGAAGAAAAATGTCAGCGTGAGTAGATACTTGTTTATTTTACTGGCTGCTAACTTTCCCCTTAAATTCTCGTGGTTGTTTTTATTTTGAAGTTGTTGAATGCCTGCCGGTTCTTTCGTTTTTTGTATTGCTTCATTTGTGTATTAGTAATTGGTGATGCCTTGTAATCAATTATTCGAATGCCCACTATTTTGGAGAGTGAATATGCAGAAGGCTGTGAATGGTAACTTGTTTTAGGCTTAGGCCATATAGAATACGTGATTCGTGTGTGGATTGATAGATAGTGACTGAGGAGCCAAGATCTTTGTTGTTCCTGTCTAGCAGTGAATTAGTATTGAGATTTCTGTTGTTGTTGGCTTAGTAGTTGCTGCGAATCGCCATGTATTGCCCTCAATTGCCTGATTAACTAGATTTCTTATGCAGTGATGAAGGTGCAGTTCTTGTTGAGGCTCCTGCCCCAGCTCTAGGTGAGCCGATGGACATTGAGACTGCTTTGCAGCTTGTTCTTAGAAAATCATTAGCTCATGGTGGGCTTGTTCGAGGCCTACATGAGAGTGCTAAAGCAATTGAGAAGCATGCTGCTCAGCTCTGCGTCTTGGGAGAAGACTGCAACCAGCCAGATTACGTTAAACTAGTCAAGGCACTTTGTGCGGAGCACAATGTGAACTTGATGACAGTTCCAAGTGCAAAGACCCTTGGCGAGTGGGCTGGTGTAAGTGTTTATTCTATCTAGCCATGGAGATAAAATTGGTTTAACTTTTGCTGGGTTTTTTACTATGATTGAACCTATACCTGCCAATGCTTGGCTTAATGTTCTTACCTTTTGATACCTAAACATGATATAATCTCTTCATGTAGAATAAAAAAGCCTTTCTTTTCCCCTCCTGTTTCCCGCCTAACACATCACCATTGGGAGAATTTGTTTTTTCTTGTAATATTTGCATTCTACATCATATGCTTGATTTTAGTTTCAAGATGCAACTAATATGTGTATACCAGCACTACTACCAAATGCTTTCCCTCGTCTGAGTTCACAATAAATATGCATATTCATTTTCTTCACATTTGGTCTAATGCAGCTATGCAAGATTGATTCTGAAGGAAAGGCTAGGAAGGTCGTCGGGTGCTCATGCGTTGTTGTTAAGGTACGTTGTGTGTCCATCGCCCATGGAGAAAATGATCTATTCCATGTTCTTTTGTTTTCAATACAATTTTTGTTGTTTACTTGAATTTTGAATCTCTACCCCCAGGACTTTGGGGAGGATCACGAGGCACTTCACATTGTCCAGAAGCACGTGAGTTCAAGTTGATTATTACAATGGTGTTTGTTGGTGTCAGTAAGAAAGTTTTTGATCTTTAGTTATGCTTAGGTTGGTTCCCTGTTGCTGCTGAACACGTTTTTACCCTATAATGTTTTTCTTTGTTCATTGATTGGAAAGATTTTTGGCAAACAGAACACAATTTATTTATGAAGAGAGTCTCCTTGCCAAGGGTAAAAGGGAATTGATTTTTTTTTTTTATCATCTATTTACTAGTTATTAAGATCTACCTATTTCTGTTCTTTATGGAGGATAATGCAAGTCTTCCTTAGTTCTTTTCCTACAAAGCTCAGGCCATCAGTGTTGTTGTCTGAGGGTAATTTCAAAATTGGAATCCTGATCAATGGAAATTTGTCTATTACTTGTTGGAGGTGTAGGGATTTGATTATCAAGTGTTGGCTAAATGATTTTGAAAAAAACACACTTAAGCCTTGTCATTTTTCGATTCAAAACTATTTGGAGTATAAATCTTTTTGAAAATTTAGATGGGAGTTAAATTTATCTAAATTTATGGGATGATATTAGGTAAGTTATATGCTGAGATTTATTTCCTTAAACCTCTAGAAAACAATCAGTTCAATGCTCAGATTGTGTAAAATAAAAGTTCTTTGAAGGTGTGAATCATTACGGGTCAACTTAATGATCTACTTATGTTCAATGGCTAAGACTCTTGGTTGGGTGTTTGAGTATAATTCTTCAGATGGCTTTGCTGAACTCAGAAACATTAGTCCAACCCACCTCGTAGCCCAAGCTGTTGCACAGAATTGAATGCTTCAAGGCAGAGTGCTTCACATGGAAATTGAAAAAAAAAATATGATCTCCATGTGATCTGCTTATAATGAAAGACCCAACTGTTGCATTCCTGGACCCTGATATCTGATTTGGCCCATACCATTGCCTCCTATTCTTCCTTTCCTAGTCATGGAGCCTCTCAGTTTGGAACTATTATAACTATTATAGTGGTTGGACCGTCTTAGTTATGAGATCCCACGTCAGTTGGAGAAAGGAATGAAACATTCTTTAGATAGGTGTGGAAACCTCTCTCCAGTACGCACTTTAAAACTGTGAGGTTGATGGCGATACGTAATAGACTAAAGCGGACAATATTTACTAGTGGTAGGCTTGAGCGGTTATAAAATAAATTATAAGTTGCTCAACCCAACAAAACCCTTGGAACAAACTTGGTTCTTATTAGAAAGATGGGGTTATTTGATACATCACAACCTCTTACTAGGTTCCATCCAAAGATAACTCATCACTCAATTCGCATTGGATAGAAAATATATTGTTGGAATGCAACTAAAGTCCTACATTAGCTTGAAAAGAGGAAGAAGATCATGGGTAATGCAATATCTCCATTGGTATAAACAAAAAAGAATATAGATCAAGTCTAAGCTTTGAAATTGGGAGTCTTCTTCAATGTCCCATGCCTTTCTTTTAGTCTCAGTTATGTAAAGTTCGTCAGCTATACAACACTAGTGTCATAGCCACTTTACTGTATAAACTGCATAGGGTCTCTTGCTACATTCACTGGTTTCCCATCTTTAGAAACTTTCTGGCATGATGAATCAGAGATGATGACCAACGAAATCCCATTTCTATATTTGTTGTAGAAAAGTTTCTCGACACATCTAAAGAGGAGGCGAGAACCCTCTAAAAAGATTTCTCTGGTTGATGAATATGTTCAGAGTCTAATTTTGTGTTTGAAGGCTCACTTGTGTTTGTGACTGCTGAGTGGTGCATGCTTCATTTCTAATGGACATGCGGTTGATACCATGCCACTACATCTGTACACACGTTACACTCGTGGTAAAAAGAAGCAGTCATGTATGGAATCCATTAGTTGAATTTTTCTTTATGCAGTTTCCGTATTCTACGAGTCCTCCACCTTCATTTTAGAGGATGATCCTTCATGATTAAGTCATGATTCCATTGATATAGCAATAGTGGTAAAGACTCGACTTTCATTTCTATTGTTTAGTTATTTTCTTTGTTTCATGAGGATGATCGTCTGAGTCATGGTTGTTTGAGTCATGGTTCTATTTTCATTAGTTGAACCTTTCTTTTATGCCGTTTACGTATTCTAAGGTGTTTTAGGAGCATGATTCTTCATGATTGAGTCATGATTCCATTGATATAACAATGGTCGTAAAGACTCCACTTTCATTTCTATTTTTTTTAGTTATTTCCTTTGTTTCAAAAGGATGTTCCTCCACGATGAGTCATAGTTCCATTGATGTAGCAATGGTCATTATACAACCTGTATAAATAGTCATAACATCACTGAAGAAAAATAGTCATAAACATCAATGAAGATAGTACGTACAAATTTCCACAAATTTCCAATTTAGTCTTTGAGTACTTTTAACTCAAAGGTATTAAGGTTCTTTCTCTGAGTCTTACAATTATTCAAAATAGGTCGAAAGAAAATTCTCCTTCCTCCACACAAACACGGCCTACCTCCACCTACGAGAGACCCTAACTCGATCGTAGGCTTGGATCTGTAACAGTGATGTTCAAGATTGTTGTTAGGAAGACCCCTTCGTCGCCTTGATCAACATAGAAAAGAACTCTACATCTCTCTCACACACGCACACACTCAAAAAAACATCCAAATCACACGCACACTAAAAACATTCAAAACAAAGACCAGTGGAAATTGCACAGCCATGTGATCGACTTTCTAGGAAAGAGCTTAGGGCTATATCATTGAACCTAATTTTCAGGTTGAATGGGGAACAGGGTGGATAATGTATTCATCAAATCAAAAATTATATCTTTGGGTGCATATCAGTCCATCATAATGACCAGCTGGTTGAGTTGTAAAGACAAACAATGGAACAAGGATGAGTTATGCTTTTCACTGTCTAATGGAGTGAAGTAGTTGCATCTAACTTTGAGCAGCTGGCATAGCTGGACTTTCATAGCTCAACTCTAAAATGGATTGAATCTTATCGTACATTGTGGTTTGTGGGACTCTAAAAGACCACAATGCGTCGAAGTTTCGTTTGTTTTGTTACTTCATGACTCAAAGCCCGTAGAAGATAAATATTTTGAGAGACCGGTCTCTCCCCACTGTCGTGATATGGTAATGATGGCTTGTGACTCATGACAACCAACAACAACGTGTCATGTGTGTCCGCTTTGACTCGTTACGTATCGCCACTAGCCTTAAGATTTTAAAAGGCGTCTGTTAGGTAGAGGTTTCCACGCGTTTATAAGAAATGTTTCGTTCCCTTTCCATTCCAACCAAATGTGGGATCTCACAATCCACCCCCTTAGGGGCCAGCGTCCTTGTTGGCACACCACCCGGTATCTGGCTCTAATACCATCTGTAACAGTCCAAGCCCACCGCTAGCAGATAGGTTTCCATACCCTTATAAAGAATACTTCGGCCCAACACTCGGTATCTAGCTCTAATACCATTTATAACAGTTCAAGCTTACTGCTAGTAGATAGGTTTCCACACCCTTATAAACAATGTTTCGTTCCCCTTCCAACCCCGACGTGGAATCTCACAATCCACCCCCTTGGGGGCCCAGTGTCCTCGTTGGCACACCACTCAGTATCTGGCGACACCATTTGTAGGGGCCCAGTGTCCTCGTTGGCACACCACCCAGTATCTGGCGACACCATTTGTAACGGTCCAAATCCACCACTAGCAGATATTAAGCAGATACTGTCCGTTGGCAACACCATTTGTAACAGTCCAAACCCACCCCTCGCAGATATTGTCTTGATCACTAGCAGATATTGTCCGTTTTGACCCATACCCACACGTATCGCTGTCAGCATCATGGTTTTGAGATGGATTTGGGAGCTTTTACGAAAGATGTTCAGTGATATTTCTCCATTTTTGGAGCTTTGGATTTCTACAACGCTTCTAGTTTCTTGATACTCAGCTGGCACTTGGTGGGGCGGTTGGTCACCATGCCTATCCACTCCCTTAAAAAAGGAGGAACATCTACATGTGAGAGAGGACCCAATGCAGTGGCCAATGGCTAAAAATGGACCTCTGGTATTGAAAATAGGCCTAGAAACAGCCTACTGTGAACAAGTATGGCACAGAACTGTGTATCAATTCTCAGTAAGACACTTGGATTTAATGTACTACAGTTGAAAAGTTGTTAATATCCACTCCCTTAATTCGATTGTTCCTGGTCTTCTGATTTGTTGCCCGTCTTATATCATGAACAGGTACCAACAAAAACCTGGGAGTTCATAAAACTTTCCATAATTATTATGTTCATGTCAACAGAATAGTTACTTTTCAAGAAGAACTTTGAATCTTAATGCTACTTTTGGATTGAACAGTAAATTTTTTAGGTATAATGCTAATTCATCAGAGCATAAACAAGACAATGATACAAAAAACTTGTATTTGCATTAGAAATTTTGGTGAAAAATTCACCATTCCAACACCGCTAATTACACACCCGAAGGCAGTGTAATTGGGTTCCATCAACATTCTAACATCAGTCAGAATGCAAAAATCAGCGACAACATAAGGATCTCAAAGAAAAAAAAAAAAAAAAGGAAAAAGAGAAAGCCAAAGGCAAAAATCGAGAATCGTCCTAGTTCTTCATGGATTTAAGAGGATTGCAATCTAGAAGTGAGATCGACAAACGCATCTTCTCCACAAGGAATCGTCAAACCGCCTTCTGGATGATCAAATCCAAACTCTTCCTCCGCTCGATTTAGAAGCTGTTGAAACGAAAGATGATTCAAATACGAAATCGGAATCACAAATCGCTTCCTCTGAAACTCTCCAACGTAGACGGCCACATGACCTTTCGGAACCGCCGATGCATTTCCGGAGCTCCTCTTCAGCAACTGCTTGGCCTGAGGAATCAAAGACGATGGAAGACGAAATCCCATGGCTGAATCTGAGTATTGATTGAAGAGAAAATAGATGTGATTTGAGTGTTCGATTTGGATTTTGAGAGTGCTAGGGTTTTGAATTTATAGGGAGGGAAAAGGGGTGGGCTGCTGAGCGGTGGTTGGCCATTGGAGGGCCCTCCAAATGGAGAAATTAATGAAAATATAGTATTAATTAATGGTGTACTATATCCACTTCATTATTAAAGTGATTTTGATTAAGATAGGCTGTCAACTCAATTGAATAATTATCGGAATCAAATGCACTTGTCGACGACCAACTCGAATTAGATTCAAAATTCAAAAGATCAAGTCGAGATGTATAATTCAGTTTTGATACGGCACACGCTATATTAGAATAAGTTGTCAATCAATTAACTCGAGTTACTTTCTAAAATTAAGTTAGGTTAAGAGTTATAGTTACGTTAGAGATGTTCACTTTATCCGTCCTAAATAGGAATGAGATTTTCCATTTAGACGAAAAATGGGTGAGAGAGTGAGGAACGTTTTTTTTTTACGTTAGATAAATGGGTCGGGGACGAGATTATATTCCTTATCCCGTCTATGCTCAATTCTTCGCCTCACTTAATATAAATATATTTTCAATACACACGCACGCCCACCACAAAATACTGCTGTAAAATTTATTTAATTGTTAAAAGTAAATTATTTTTTATTTATTTATATATATATATAGAAATTTGCTTATAAAATATATTAATTTCATTACATGTTTTTATATGGAAAAAAATGAAAACTTTCAGATAACTATTTTCAAAAAGAATAATAAACTGGTAAAAATCATCTCTGAGTAACTTGATCCCTACAAATTCTTTGCAGGGATTCCTCGCCCCGATCTCTGCAGGAATAAAGGGAGAATTATACGGGGATGGAGAATAAAATAGGTAGCGGAGATGGAAAAGGCTTCTCGGTACCCGACATCTCTAGTTATAATTTGATACACAATTTCTAGATGAATTGTCAACTCCTTTAAATAACTTTTTAAATCAAATGTATCGTTCACGAATTCGAGCCAATTTCAGAAATCAAGTTAGGTTCGGAAGTATGATAATTTTTAAATACTTAAATAAAATTAGTTAGAAATTATTGTTATAATGTGCTATTTTATAGTTATTAATCGATAAATATCTTTTAAAAAATTGTAATTAGAGATTATTGCACATGGTATACTCATAAACTTTTTTTTTTTTTAAAATATTTATATAAGAACATGGTAAGAGCTAATAATTATTAGTTTTTTTATAACCAATAATTAATAGTTTATGGGAATATTTTAATACTACAATAAATATTAATTGAAATATAATTAGAAATATTTAAGCATGTACTTTGAATGTGAACGAATCACATGGCTTCAACTGCCCCAATTTAGATATGAAAAATTAAACAAACATATAAATTTGATTATTTATTTATTTTATACGTATTTTATTATTGGAATTGAATAATATAATAATAAAGCAATATTTAAAAATATTATTTTTTTAAGCTATCAATAAAGGTCAGATGAAAGTCTCACCTCAGCTAATTTAAGAAATGATCATAAGTTTATAATGAAAGAATATTATCTTCATTAGTCTGAGGCTCTTGGGAAGCCCAATGCAAAGGTATGAGAGCTTATACTCAAATTCAACAATATCATATCATTGTAAAGAGTGTCGTGATATTAAAATTTAATTTTGAACCTATACATAATATAACTATTTTTTTTTGTTTGAATTTTATAATCCCAAGAAAAGGAAAATAGAAGATTATGCTTCACAATGATGAATCCATTAGGTGTACAAATTATCGTATAATCCAATCCAAACAGCTAGAACTCCACATACACCAGATGGCGAAATCATACTCCATATCTGTTCATTGATTCGATTCAAATCAATTCAAGATACCCTTACTCTGCTACAAGCTCACATGCTAGAATCTGTTCTACACAGTTCGAATTTATCATCAATTTGTACGTTGTAGGCTCGCCACGACGCCATTGTCTTTCAGTTGCGACATGATATTAATCTACAATAGCTTCACGCGTCCTTTCGTATTGTACTGATCTCTTTGAAGTGAAGGTACGAAAACGTTCATACAACGATTGTAATTAATGAAATCGATAGTCGGTTCATAATTTCCCGAGTGTTAAGGTCCGGATTGAGAGATACCTAATGCACAAATGCTATATTGTATTACAATTTATTATCTCAGTTTTCTGTACCGATACATTGGTGGATCGATGTCTGATTCTAGCAAGAGAGGGAAAATATGTTACTCCGGTGAACTACATTGAGTAAGTATTGCTAACCTGTATTGCGAAATGGTTGAAGTTTAGGTTTCTTGATTGGATGTAGTTGATAGCTAATGTGTATTGTAAAATGATTGCTTATGGTTTATTTTATCTTTGTTGGTGAACAGAATTAAGTTTAGATATCTTGATTGGATGTGGCTGAACCTACTTTGGGCATCCGCCATACCAGATGGTATGGCTGGAGTCTCGTGTGTTTCCTAGGAAGTGTGCTGGATGGAAACTATGATAGTGATGGAATCCATTTCCTTTGTACACTTGTAGGAGAAGAAAATTGTGTCTGTCACAACAGTAACAAACTCCATTATGATGCGGATCGATTTGATTTCCCCTGCACAATTGTGTGCGGGACTTGCAGATCTATGGCGTAAAAAAGAAAGAAAACATGATTGGTTATGTTGGATTAGATTGCATGTAGGCAAACAAAGAGAGTTATTTGTTTGAAGTAGACATGTTAAGTTGATAAACCATGGTTTCTGATGTTGGTCGTTAAGGTTTTCTCTCTCTAACTTAGCTTAACAATCTTTTAGCTCTCTCTCCCCCTTGAACATCCGAGGAAGAAAATCACATTTGCGTGCTTAAGTCATGTAATGTGTTGGTGAAATCATTTAAATTTTGAGCTTCCCACTCAGCGTTTGTCCATGTCAATATTGCACCAAAGAGGAAAAAATATCGACCGCAAGGACTTCAATAGAATCCAGAGAGGGAAATAAACAAATATACAATGGAGTTCATGAGTTGAAGGGACAAAGTTTTCTCTGTTGTCAGCGTTTCAGGTGGAACGACAGTTTCCCCCTTTCTTTAGTCATTTTGATTTACTTCCAATGCAATAAGTTCTACTCTGGTTTCTAGAAATTAGAAACGAAAAATTAAGGTTAGGGTAACTGTGTGGAGGGGTTGATCTTTTCTCTCCATCTCTGATGATGCATGCAACGTAGAACTGAGATTAATGCTGCAGGGAATTGTCAGACCACAAATTGGATGGTTGAATCCCAATAGTTTCCTCAGCCCTTTCTACCAAGTTAGTAAGTGATTTGGGGTGGGGTGTTTAAGTAAGCATCCACAAATCTGTAGCTGAATTTCCCCAAATAGACTGCAATGTGACCTTTGGGAATTTTAGACTTCTTCTGGGTAGAAGCACCCTGCAGTTTGGGAATTGTTTGGTGTTACGAAGAATTCAATGCAAACATATTCCATCTTCAAGCTTGCTTGAATTGAAAGCAGAACGAGCGAATCTTGGTGGTAGCAATCTTATTGTGGATTTAAAGTAGAAAACTTCAATACTTGGATGAAAGTTTCTCTGTGATAGGAAGAGTTGTTGTTAAGTTGTTTTGAACTATATATAGAGTGATCAAGACAAGGTGAGAACGAAAGAATATCAAAATAGGAGTCCAGGAGACCTTCTTTATTCGAGGACTCTTGTGGGCTTGCCAAATTTGTTGGAACATACTCCTTTTCTTATTTGGCCTGACTTCTGGTTGCAAAGACCCACTTGTTTGAATGGAAGATAATAGAGTAGAAAACAAGTGGTCAAGGAAAACGGAAAACCAAATGCTGTGACCAAGAAAATAGACAGACCAAAAAAGAAAACACCTGATGAGAAACTTTTGATCACTTGTTCTGCATCACTGATCCAATGCAATAGCTAAGAAATTAGACCACCACGAAAGTACATTTTGGTATGTACATAAGATACGCAACTTTGTATAGGCACTTCAAGTCCCTTTTAATTGACTCTTTAATTAGCAATATCATCATACAACTTTACTGGTTTATATCTATTACTGCACCACCAAACAGGAATTTGCGTATTCTATATGAATTGTCTTTAGTTAGCACATGTACCTCTCTTAAAATTAAGAGAAAATGTCAACCAGATAATTTATACTTGCTAAGCAAAAATGATGGTATATAGTCATTTTTATAGGTTTAAGTCAGTCTAGCAAATCTGGAAGATATTAGTATTCAAGTAAAGGATGATGAAGAGTTTGGAAGATTGATCCTTCAAGCTTGTTTTCCGGAAGATATTAGTATTCAAGTAAAAGATGATGGTAGAGTTTACAAGATTGATCCTTCAAGTTGTTTTTGGTCAAGTGACTGACCAAGGAGCTTGATATTATTTTTCCTAGGCTGAAAGCCTTGCTCACAGCTGTTCGAAAATCCAAAAGTCCCAAGAAGATTAGTATGCTCATATGGATTTTTCTATACAAGGGTCTTTTACAGCAGAATAACTTGAAAAGAAAAATACTAAAATATTGAAAATACCTCTAAACTTTTCAATATTTCATTTTTTTTAAAAATACACTTACGGTTAGTTTTTTACGAAAACTGTTACTAAATGCCTTTACTATTAGTATATGGATGGTAAAGAGAATTTTATATGTGTGAGTTTGTGTTCATCAACTCGAAACATCTGACTCATGTGTCAGATGGCTATTTGAGAATTAGAGCTTGGTTGATACCTTAAGCAAGGAAGAAAGTTCCTTAAACCTAAATCTACAAGGGGAGAATGGAAGAAGGGGGAGGTGTGTTTGGGTGTAGATGAATAGTTTTTGTCTATATATTAACAGTAAATGCATTTTTGAAAATTCAAAGATATACTTGAAATGCAGCATTAACAGAAATATTTTTATTCCAATTATTCAAGTGTAAGAAAATTATGCTCATTGTGAGAAAATTATGAGAAAACAATGTAGGTCAGCTTTCATGTGAACTTCACATAGGCTTGTTTGGAGCACACTAAAAATAGAAGAAGAAGGGAAAAAGAATGTAGGATCTCACAATCTGGATCAAGAACAGTAGATTTTATCTACTTCTGACTATGTTATAACCTTATTGTCTCATTCAGGTTCAGCTTTGTGGGACTCCAACAGCTGTACTGATATACGTATCAACAAAGGCTTAGCTGCCAAATCCGGTTTTGTTATATTTTCACCCAGATGATTAGGTTTTCTAATTAGATTGATATTCAATACATTCAGACAAATAATCTATGCTATTAAATGATGTGCTCATGTTGTATGTTGACAAGGCAAAAAGTAAGGGGAATGGTTTAGATGTTTCAGGCATGTCTCTAACAAAAGTGATCAACTATTGGTTTTGTTATGTGCTTAGCGTCATTAAGAAGTATTTACTTGGCCACAATTTTCAGCTCAAATGGGTCCTCTATTGGCTGATTTTCCAAAGTGTTAAGTGACTTTGTTTACCCAATATTATATCCTAAATATCGGAAGATTATTATCTGGGAGACAGGACCATGTGATACAGTAGACTTCACAAGCACTTGCCTTCTAGTAGGCCTCATTCAAAGATTTCTCACCTCCCATTTCTTAGAACAAGCTAATGTCTGCATCTTTCTTCTATATGTACATGTTTTCAAGTCCCAAGCAACCCAGATCTCAAACTTTCAACCGCCCTCCAAGTTTTCTCATTCTAAATACTTTGACTTCCTGTTCTGAGTAACAAAACCATGGGCTTTCATTTCGTGAAAATTGTAAATGCTGTGCTAAAGCTAGGACTTTCTTCTCTAGCAACAAACCAAGAATCATCAGTTGTCCGCAAAGGTTATTGTGCAGTTTATGTCGGAGAGAACCAGAGGAAGTGATATTTGTGATTCCAATAGCTTACTTGAATCGACCATTTTTCAAAGACTTGCTCAGTCAAACTGAAGAAGAATTTGGTTACAATCACCCTATGGGAGGTCTCACCATTCCCTGCAGTGTTGATACATTCATTGGTCTCATCTCTCATTTGAATTAGTTGGGAAAGAAGATATATTGGTTAGACACAATCTGGTAGATTCGATTTTACCATTCTTCTGTACAGATTTTTGAGGGAGAGATAAAATGCCTCCTCAAATGGTGTATACTAGATTAGATATTCAAATCTTAGAAAATGAAGATATTCCATTCAAGTTCTTCTGCTTACATGTTTTTTCTTTTTTGGACTCCTATGCATTATTTTTCCGTTAGCATAAACGTAGATAGATACTAATGTTATTCTTCTGCATGAAATTCATTTGAAAAATAGTTTCAAAGGACTGGTGTAATCACCTTCATTATAGAAATTAGAATATATGAAGTCTACATAAACTAGAACATAGTCCAATTTTTTATGAACCCATATGAATCTTGTATTATTCTGTTACATATAACTTTTTTTTTTGTCTATTAATCTGTTTATCGCCTTTGGTAGAACTTCAGTTTCATAATTCTTCAAATCACCAGCATCCAAGTAGACAAATACATTGTATAAGCATCGGTAAATTATATCTTAAAATGATTGTTTCTGGTTATTCTTATATTTCTTTTTCAATGTAATTAAATTTTGAGCAGCTTCCATGCCAGCCGATATGGATTAAACCTGCGGTGCATTTTGTTTAGTGGAACATATAGAAGTGTAATAATAAAAAGAGCCTGTTTCCCTTGAACCCGTCTACCAAAAGATATTTTTTTTTCTTCTCTCTCTCTCTCTCCTCCATTCTTTTTTTTTTTTTTTTTTTTTTTTTTTT